TATGTGGCCTTTCTGAGCGGGAGCCTCTCTGCTGGTTCCCTGGGATTCGGGGTTTGTGAACCCTACACCCTAAACCCTAATACTTTCGCTTTGGAGGCTTTTTCCCGTTCTTGCAGGGGGCGGAGAGGCGGCCGACGTGCTCATCTAAACCCTAGTTATGCGTAGGGCTTGCGAAATTGGTGAATGCGGTTGGTGCAGCGACGCGTGGCAGACAGGCAGACACACTCACACACAGGCTCATGTCCACAGGGGTCCACGCACGCGCAGAGAGGCAGGAGGGGAGGCCTGTGTGTGCAGTGTGTGTGTGTGCAGTGTGTGTGTGTGCAGTGTGTGTGCGTGTGTGTGCCATCATCGCCCGCACACGCGCACCCTCACACACACACACACACGTCCGTCCTCTACATCTTACACTCTCATCGACTGCACAGAGAGAGAAACCCACTTGAGCCAAAGAGAGAGGGAAACCCACACAATCACATCACTCGCGGGTCTTCTACACACATACAGCCCGACCATGTGCCCCAGGTGGCTGGCTGGTGCTGTGGGCTGCTCTGCTTCACCAGCCCGGCGTCCCGAATAGCTGTGTCAGATACCATGTGCCATCGCTTGAGCACGCCACCCCGATGCCGCACACAATGAATGGCCCGACGAGATTGCGACGGTGCCCCTCAGAATGGATCCACCCGTCCACTGCCGCCTTGGCCACCTGCACAAAGTAAATCGCCGAATTCATCCCTCCATCCATCCACTCAGACGGCCGGTCCCTCCCTCCCTCCTCACCCACCTCATAGATGCCCTTGTTGTGCGCCACGTTCTCAGCTGACCGCGACGACCGATATGGGTAAGACCGAAAACGCTGCTGGGCGCCCTGAACCAACACACACACACACACACACGATGGGGGCGAGCGTGTGTGTGTGTTTCTCTCTCTGTTGTGTGGGAGCTTGGCTTACGTCATGTCCGAATGGCACTCTCCCCGCGGCCATGTTGCGGCTGTGGACCTCAGCAATGCGGCACAGCTCATCCGACCACACCAGCCCCGGAAGACCCAGACTCGCACGGTAGTCATTCGTGTAGTCGAGGGCCTGCTTGCCAATGTAGACTGGCTGGAAATCGAGTCTCCTGAAGTCGGCGAGCGTGCGGAAGGGGCCGTGCTCCCTCTTCATCTGCTCAGCATACCGGCCGTGCGACACGGGGGCGCGAGAGGGAGCTGAGACCACTCTCTGCTGCCGCACGGACGAAGGCTGGGCGGCAGGGGAGGGTGCGGCAGCAGGGGGGCGTGCACCGCCCGCAGCATCGAACCGCTCCTTTCGCTGTGAGCGGATGGCCATGAGCTGGTCCTCCTGCTCCTGCCGCGTCTTCTCCCGCTGCTGGTGCTCGCGCCGGGACGATTGGAAGGAGGACTTGACGGGGAGAGCAACTTGCCGGTCGATCTGGGTCCTCCGGGCTCGGTTGGTGCTCACGATGCGCTGCTCATGCAGTCTGGCCAGCTGGTCTCGCGTCGGCGCGCCCGTGAATGACGGCGCAGGGGCAGAGGGGTGGGTCTTGGTGGGAGAGGTGGACGCAGAGCGGTCTTGCGGTGACTCCTCTGGTGAAACCGCCGCCTTGGGAAGCGACTGCAGCAGCTCATCCAGCACCGTCTTCACCAGCCATACCTTGCCGAATGTGAGCTCGTCGTTGGGGTCGTCGATGGCCATCTCATCTTCGCCCTTCTCGTTGGTGCGCTGCTTCCAGCCGGCCGCCTCGAGCAGCGCACACGCAGGCGAGTGCCGCATGACGGCCTGCTGGATCTTGGGATTGCTGGTCTTGAACGAACGATACTTGAGGCTGTCGGGCTCTTTCAGCAAGTTCAGGTGCAGCCGCATGAGGACAGAGCCACACTGCTGCCTATCTTCGATAGACTCGATGGCCGTGAGCGCATCCACGGCCTTGTAGATTTGCTCCTCCACTTGCACATCATCTTGGTCAGTCGGGGAAGACGGGGAGGCATCATTGCGGGTGTCATCAGCCGGTGCTGAAGGGCCGTCCTGTGTTGACTCGTGAGCGTCTTCCAGGACCACCGACGGTGGCTCCTCGCTGACGTGAGCTGTGGCAGATGGCGCAGAGAGCTCCAGCAGATGGTCCAGCATCACTTGAAGCGAGGGCGGAAACCTGTTGGTTTTCGTCGCCACCTTGGTGAGCTCTTCCTCGATTGCGAGCGCAGACAGATGAGGGAAGAGGTCCTTCAGGACGGCGGGAGAAGCGTTGTCATCTTGGCTCTCGAGAAGAGATGCGTCCGATGGAAGAGGCGGGGCGCTGGGTACTGGCAATTGGTTCATAATCTGGGTAGCTCCTGAGAAACCGCAGTTCTGTCCCCAAAATAGTGCGAGCTGCCTTCTGGGGGCACAGCACTCCCCTCCCTCCCCTCCGGAGACTGAGGTCAAACAACGAATCCATACAGCTCGTCAAACAGCTCTCCCGTGAGTCCCATTCTGATTCTTCTTGTTTGTTCAGGTCAATTTGGTTCAGGTCTTGTCGGCGTCATGCAAGCGCTCTCCCTTCTCGTTGGCCTCCTCCTCCCCTTGATCGTCGGTCCAGTGGGTGTGGCTGCCCAGCCGCTTACCGTGTCCGCCCGTACCATTTGTGGCAACGCCACCCATTCATTTCTCGGCGGCTGCTTCTCCGAGACTGATACGATTCAGTGGCGGCTGGAGACCACCTGCGACGAGCCGCCCCTGTCGCTTCCTGGATCAACCCCTCCTGAGGTGTGCGTCGTTGCACCTCTGGAGGGCTGCGACACACAGAGGACATCCCGAGGCGATGGGTATCTCGGAGTCACGAACCTCGTCATCGGCGACAGCACGGAGTTTCGATACCCTCTCGAGTGCCTCTATGACCCAAATGGACAAGAGGTCCCGCTGCCGCGACAGGGCAAGGGCTTCGGCTGGACGGCGGGAGACAAGAGTGTGGCAGTGTATGCGAGTCTGTGTTCGGACTACCTTTGCAACGAGCCTCTCGACAACCCCATAACTATCAACTGCCCCCTTACAGACCAAGGTGGGCCCTTCGACTTTTGCCAATCGCTGGCTGACAACGACAACGAGCCGTACAAGTGGGCCTACCTGCGGCTGAATGTCCCGGCCATGAACGACTCGCTCTTCATCCAGCCCCGCCAGTGCTACGCCACGCCGAGCGTGAGTGACGCCAGCCAGAAGGCCGTGCAGTGGCTCTTTGACGGCTGCAATGTCGACGTCTTGACGCTCCCCAACGGTGTCTCATGGCCAGTGTTGTATCAAGTACACGCGGAGGGCCTGACGATGCTCAGATTTCCCGTGTTTCGGATGGGCACCTCCCCATCGATCGACTTCATCTACATCTACTGTGAAGTGGCGCTCTGCAACGGCCCCAACTGCCTCAATTGTCCTATCACAGTCGTCAACCAGACGACAACCGAAGGCATCTTCGTCGGCAACGTCGATCAGGCCGGCCAGCAGGGGACGCTCATCACCTCCCAGTTGTACAGCCAGCCCGTCAACAGCACTACCAGCTCTGGCGCAGAGAGCCAGCAGCTGGGCGTGGGGCCGCTAATCATGCTGGGCGATGGGGGCCGGAAAGCAGAAGATGACGAGGGCAAGAGGGCCAAAACGACCGATTTGCAGAAGTCCCTCTCTGGCCCAGTGGCGCCCATCCTCTTTGTTCTCATCGGCGTTGCCTTGCTGACGGCCGTGTGCTTCCCGATCGTCAGGGGCATCCAGCTGAAGCGCGCGCAGAGGATCAAGTGCGCCAAGGACAGGAACGAGAAGCCGGCGCAGGTGAAGCAAGCTGAGACTACCCTGGAGAAGCTCCGCGCCAAGCAGCGGCAGAAGATCGCCGCCCTCTCGCAACAACAGACCACCGCCAGCCCAGAGGCATTGCAGGTGCCGATTTATGCGACAGAAGACAGGCTTGTCGGGGGCAGCATCCGATCAGGCGATGCAATGACTGAAGACCTGGATGCCGCGCTCAAGCGAGACGGCGGGGGGGTCATGACGCCATCACAGACGTACATCTTGGCGGACCACATTGTCGCATCGCCAGCGGCACAGAGCGCGGCGTCACCGAGTGGGCCAGAGCAGCATCCGATCACGGACGACAGTGAGGGGGAGAGGGCGGCTGGTCTGCGGCTGGACGGGATTGCTGTTGGCGTGAGAGCTTCGATCGCTTCGCTGTGGTCTACAGAGGCGAGACAGCGGTCGCCGAGTCATCGGGGTGGGGCCTCGCCCACACAGCGTGCGGACGACGTGTGAAGTGCGGCTGGTGCGGTGTGTGTCCACGCTTTGAGTGCTTAATTGATGTGGCCAATGACCTTGAGACTTCTCGCTAATTGGCTTTTACATTGATCTAATTGATAATACATAGCAGTCTTGATGCACGCATCACGCATCACGCACACATGGCTGCCTGGCTGGCTGCTCACCAGCTCAAGAAGCTCTTGCTCAACTTGTGATAGTTGACCCCGAAGTATGAGAAGAATCTGGGCCAGTCTCTCTCTGGGTTCGTGACTAACATTGTCCTCAGTTTGATCCGCATCTCCGCCTCCCTGACCTCTTGCGGTGTCATCCTGTCCTTCTGAATGGTTGCAGCCGACGCGTTGTACCTACATGTGCACAGGACAAGAGACAGACAGACAGACAGATAGACAGACAGGGAATGTGAGCCCCGCTTCCGCGTGTGTATGAGCCATGCCTTGCCTGTGCCATGAGACGAGGAAGTCTCCGCCTTGTAGGTAGTTCACAAAGAGCCCACAGCCAAGCATGCCGGGCACCAGAGAATACTTTGAACCTTCGATGTTGGCCTTGAGAACGATGCGGTCGATGCCTCCCCTGGTCACCCGAGGGATGAAGTCGCACAGGTCGATGTTCTTGACATCTTCACAGGTGACATCCTTGCCGCCATTCAGCCTCTTGTCTGGCTCGATGCTGCTCCCGACACTCATATCCTTAATGACAAAGAGAGAGAGGCATCCATGTGTCGATAGATATCGGCCCACCTCGTAGCTGCCTTGCCAGAAGCCCTTCTCACGAAACGGCTCCGAGCAGAACCGAATGGTTCGTCGAGCGTCAAAAGCAGTAACAGCAGCAGGACAGAAGACCTCTATTTGGCCGCAGGCGCCCTCCAGCTGCTTGGCCACTTTCTGCAGAGGGCCACACAGCTCCCGGTTCCCTTCGAAGGCGTAGACGGTAACCTTCTTGTCGAAGCCCTTTTTGCCGACCAGACTTCGATAGAGACTCTGTAGTATGCGGGGCGAGTGTCTGGTCTTTCGTGAGAGCCTCTTCCTGATGTTGGCGGGGATCGGCGCCTCCTTTCCGCACTGAAAACACAAACGAGAAGCATCAATGAGAGAGGGCAGCGCATAGAGAAGGAGTGCTGACCATGTATGGAAAGCTGTCTCCTATGTTCGCTCCTAAGTCGAAGAACAGCACGCGGGGCGGGCCGCCCCTGACCGCTGAGCTCTTCTGCACTGAAGATCTCGGCGTGGCGGTCCGTTCCTCCTCCGTGTGGTGGCCCTGGTGTTGTGGGCGGCAGTCAAAAAGGCTTCTCCAGTTGCTGCGAACGGTGAATAGGGCAACAAGCGACGCGACCAGCACGCCCCCGAACGCGAGAGCACTTGCGAAGCCCGGCATTGGCAGGCGAATATCTTTACATTCACGTGTAAACACAGCGAGGGCGCGTATGGGCTCGCTGGCGTGGGGACATATCTCGATCACCATCAGCGACACACAATTAAAGCCAGCTCCGCATTGCTGGGCGCTGGTCACACACATGTCACACATCTAGTCTACACACACCTCACATGACATAGACGATAAATACTTGTTCTTTCTCACACCACTCACTCGCCCGCACGCGCGACCTCACAACACGCACAACACAAAAAAATGCACATCGCATCAGTAATGGTCACGTGGTGGGGCACATCAGTCGATTGTTTCGCAAATGTCATCCACCCATCGTGCAGAAGCTAAGCGCGTTTCGCATCTCCTCACGAACGAATATCGATCACTTCACTTCCTCTCGACGTGGTTGTAGTCGGTGTAGACCCAGCGCCTCTCCAGCCCATACAGCCGATACGCTCCATAGCCACACACAAGAGACAGTACCAGGGGGATGCGCCACAGCGCAGCCCCGCCCATGGTGGACATCAGGAAGCGGCTCAGCAGGCCGCCGGGGGGAAAGAGGAAAGCCATGGCCGCCACTGACGTGAGGGCATCGAGACCAAGACCGATCGACAAGACGGTGGTGAGGTAGCGGAGGACCCTGGTGATGGCATACCTGCAGCCGTGAAGACACTGCCGTGTGTGTATGTGATGGGACTCCGTGTCTCTGTCTGTCTGTCTGTCTGTCTGTCTGCGGTGACTTACGCTTTCCTGCAATGGGGCAGTATTTGGTGTGAGACTCCCACCGGTCGAAGAGCTTCCTCCGGTCGGTCATGAGAGGCCCCAGCTGCCCGGTGCTGCCCTTCCATAAGGGCTTCCCTCCGGCGTGATTCATCAGCCACCGACGGAAGGACCTCACCGCCGTGTCGGCGGCAGCCGGCATGTAATAGGCCCGGTCAAATTTCTCGAGACCTGTACACACACATGCATGCTGTCATGTCAACCAACGCATGAAGCTTGGTGGGATGGGATTTGGCGGCCGTTCGCCATGCATCAGATCAGCTGACCGTCTTGGTGTTCCCTCAGCCTGCGTTCCTGGTAGTGGACATGCATATTGTCTCCGTCTGTGACAGCAAGACTCTCCAGGTGGTCATCCCATCGCAGCGGAGACGTTCTGCAAACACACACCCACACATGGCACACACACACACATACACACACACACACACATGACACATACATTCACTGAGCGTCGCTGACGTAGACATGCTCTCACACACATCGGCCGCTTGCGAAAGGGCACCGTTGCGGGGAAGCGCGTGAACAGATAACTCTCCCCTGGGGCGGACGGCACAGCGTATGCCACCAGATAAAACCTGTGCCCGTCAAGCTTGCCGCTTCTAAGGGGCTTGGTGATCTTCGGAGCCATGCCGATCTTGGACAACAACCTGGCAATGGGAATGGGAGGAGCACGATGCAGTGCGGGTGTGTGCAGCAAGGGAATCGGCTGACTTGATGATGGGCTTCTGCTTCAGCCTTTCGACAACCGGTGACAGATCAAACTCGTAGTACAAGAGGCAAGGGGGCATGAACCTGATGCGCGTCGTGAGGCCGGCGCCTCCGAGATCTTGTAGGGATGTGACGACGAAGCCGTCGCCGGTCAGATTGTCCAGCTTCATTGCAATCGGCCCGGCTTGGTCACGGTTGCCCTGGCGCAAGGATTACACGCAAACACTTACCTGACTCTTCTCAGTATGGCTGGCTGGTCCGACGTACCTGTATCCCGTGATGGGCGAATGGCACGTGCGATGGGTCGCCAACATCTTCAACCTGCAGCCATTGACACAAGCATGCACGACCCACACGAGCCTCAGGTGGCTGCCTGGCGTGTGAGTGTGTTGGTTGTGATGTCTGTGGGTCTCTCACAAGTGTGTCATAGTTGTAGTGCAAGACCCGAAAGAAGAGGCCGTCGTCTTTTCTGTTGATCAGCTCGGGCACTGCATCCAGCTCAGCCACTGTCGCCGGCTCTACCTCTGTAGAAGCTGCCCAACCCTCCCTCGTGCTGCAGACACACCAACATGCATACATACATGTCTGCGGGCTCCGATGTGCCCACCCCACCTGTCAGGGAATATCCAGACGAGTGAGTCGGCCTCCTTGCACGGCACTGTCTGGAGGCACGCCCGCTTGTTCTTCCTGGCGGCCTTCTGCGCCTTGGCCTCAACTTGAGGGATCTTCGTGCACGCTCCTGTCCCATCGAACTCCCAGCCATGGTAGGTGCAGTGCAGCTTGCCGTCTTCGCTGATGCGGCCCTCAGACAGCGGCGCCAGGCGGTGCGGGCAAGCGTCCTTAGCCGCGACGAACTTGTGCGTCGCCTCGTCCCACCACACCACGAAGTGCTCATTGAGCACGGTGAACTGCCGCGGTTGCTTCTTGTCCAGATCACTTGCAATCGCCACGGGATACTGCACAAGACAAGACAAGACAAGACAAGAAGGCAGCGGTCGATTGTGTGTGTGAGCGGGAGCCTGTGTGGCTCATTCGTCTGCCTACCCACTGTCGCCACCAATCGAAGGTGCCGCCATCCGCCTTGTCCGAAGCCTCAGACGCCTGCAAGGCATCAATGAGGCGTGCAAGAAGAGCGGCCGCGTGGTTCATCCAGCCTGAGGACGGATCATTGCTCACCGCTGGTGTGAATGACAGCTCGATGCTCTCTGACCGAGGCGGCGTTATCTTGGCTGGCGGCGATGGTACGGTCAGCACTGCAGATGGCAGCGCAGTGCGACGCACCGACCTCTTTCCCGAGCTGCCAAACAGCTGGCCTGCAGTGAAGGCAACGAACATACAAACAAAATGGCGATGGTTGCATCTGACCGACCTGGCTTGATTGCGTGATAAGCAAGACATCCTTGCAGAGCAAATGTCAAGAGTGCTGCGCTGCCGCAGACCACACGCTGCTCCTTCATTTTGATTTTACAACGGGATTTCTAGCGAGGACGAGCTCCCAATGCACGTAGAAGCGGCCAGATCTCCGGAAAGAAGGAAGAACAGGTGAGAAGGGCTGCAGCGGTTTAGGGCTCTGTGAAACATTTTCCAGGGGGGGGGAGTGGGGGCGATTTCCTTTCCATCCCTTCCGCTGCGATGTTATGGACCGCTTTCTGAGGTTTTGAGGCGCTTCCGTAATGGAGTCCGTACTGCATTTGTTCGTCGGCCTTGCAGCTGCCTGTCTGTGGCTTCCCTGGGCCGCGGCGCAGCAGGATGTGTGGCTCTTGAGTATCTGCTCGGGTGACGTGAAGGTCGGTGGACTGGGGAACAAATCCAAGCCGCTCGTCGACCTGGGTAAGTGGCACTAGCAAGGCAGGACCACCTCCGTTTGTCGCGTGTTCATTCCTGCATGCAGCTCTTTCTGAGATCAACAACCGCACCGACATTCTCAATGGCTATGAGCTCAAGGTTGAGCATGTCGGTGGAGTCGACAGACAGACAGACAGACAGACAGACATAACAGGTGGATTCTCAATGATCTGTGTCTGTGATGTCTGTGATGTCGCCTGTATGTCTGTCTGTCTGTAGGTCGACTCCGATTGTGATCCAGGTCACATTATGATATAGAGCTACAGACAAAAGCACCCATTGTTCCTTGCAATGTGGGCTGTTGTGTCTGTGTGTTTCAGTGGAAGGCTCTTTCCGTGTTACCAAGGCTCTAAAGGAAGGTCCCCCGAAGGTGAGCAGCCACAGGCATGCTCAGTCACGCGCAAATACCCATCATTCTCTGTGCTGGGTGCTTGCATCTCAGGTAGGAATCATGGGCCCCTGCTACTCGCCCGTGTGCGAGGTCGTCAGCCCCGTTGCGCGGAGCTATAACCTAGTCATTAAAGTGAGACGAACATGGACCGTCTCTGGCGGTACGGCTGTATGTGTCTGTGTCTGTGGTCAGGCTGCTAGTTGTGTGATAGGTGAATTCAGGTGTGCACGATGGCCCAAGGGAGGCGCGGAGACGAGTTCCCAACACATACATGTTTGTGTGCGAGCTGTATGTGTGTGCTTTTGGTTCTAGCGATGAGGAGAAGTATCCATTGTTCACGCGCATCTTTCCCCCCACGGTACGCAATGGATTTGGTGGCTGACATCCGCCATATGCATCCCTTCGGCGTGCACCTGCAGGGAGAGATGGTTGTGTACGCAATGGTCCAGCTGGCCGGCATGTTTAAATGGGGACGCTTCACATTCGTGACGCAGGCAAAGCACCGGGCCAGGCAAGAACGTTTTACATGATTTGAATTCTGTTTGGTGTCTCAACTTGAAGGACATCGAGATATGTCTCTTGTTGGCCGGGGGAGTCCATCAGACCTTAGCTGCAACATTCCCAAATTTCGATCATGTCGCCACCCTACTCATGGCGGTATACAAGAGCAGAGGCCATCAACCACTTTGACAGTCGCCTTGTTTATCCCTCACACAGACGCACGATGACGCTTATAATGTTGTGGCAGAACTTCCTTCTTATCGGCCGCGTATCCTCGTGCTATCGGCCTACGAGGACTTTGCAGTCAACTTCTTCTGCGCTTTGTACCAAGCTGGCATGTATGGCCCGTCAAGTAATCTGGTTATGCTCTCGCCCACACACTGGTGTGACGATGTAATACATGAGCGGCTTGGCAAGCTGGCGTTGAAGTCGAGCTATGTATGTATGCAGGTGGAACTCAAACTTTATCGAGGAGCTCGTAATGGTTACAACTGCACCGTTGCAGAAATACTTGAGGTAAGCACCGCCGTACAGGCAGGCAGGTCGAAAGGCATGGTCTCGATGCTAAAGGTGCGACAGCCAGCTGAATCCTTCTCTCACTTCGATGTTCGATTTGCAGGGTGCCAGCAATATCATAGGCATATCGATGGCCGGACGGCAGCCAAGCGACGACCCACATGGGCTTTCCGGACGAAAAATCAACGATGTAGTCAAGAAGGGGGGCATGCGCAACACAAATCGCCAGTGCATGGGAATCCTTGCATGCCCCTCTATACATCAGATAATGGCTGACTACCAAACAGCCTGCTCGGTCTCCACGGACGGCTGCCATGTTGGGGCAGGTGAACGGACATGATTCTTTCTGCAGTCATGACAATTCTATTTGGAGGTTACTCTTATGATCCTTCTGCAGGTTACTTTTATGATTCTGTCTGGTGAGCACTGCCTTCCTGTCGATCGTGCGCATCGACATACAGATGCCCTGATGCAGGTCGTGGGCGAAGGTGCTGGATGACTGGTTCCTTAGTGGAGGCTGAGAACGAATGCATGTCTCGTGCTGTAAGGACAGTATGGATGGTCTTTGTAGGACTCTTGCCGACCTTGAGAGCCCCAACAGCACAACTGCGGAGTGGATGTTTAATCAGACCATCAGTCAAGTGAACACATGGACGGATTTTCTCCCCAACCCTACGCGCACAGATGCGTTTGTGTGTTCAGTCCTTTTTGGGCACACCGGGCCTAATATCCTTTAAAGGGACGTCCCCCGGCCCTGGCGACGCCGTGGGCCAGCTAGACATCAAACAAACAAGGGTACCGTATCCCTTGTATAGCCGAGACGTGTTTCCTCTTGTTGTCATGTTCTATTTGTACCGTGTCGCTGCCTCTGTGCCTGCAGAATTCCAACGACTATAGTCTAATTAGCAACTGGCTGCCTTCGACGGCAAGCTACAGGCAAGGTCGCTATGCACGAAAAAGCCCACTGGAAGAAGTTTCTTCCGGGCAGCTTTCGAAGCTACTTTGAGTGGAACGACGGCAGCACTTTCAATCCTTTGGCTAGCCCGCCAGGCACTGTGCCTGGAGACACGCCGCCAGAGTGCCCAGCTGGCAATTACGTCAACGAAACGGTTCGGTTCGGTCGTCAGCGGAGGGACACTGCTGTCAAATTCACAAGCATTGGAAGCGTTGTCCCTGTGTGTCTGTGTGTCTCCGGCAGGGTGACTGCGTCGCTTGTCCGACTGGCTCGGCCAACAGCCAGCCTAACGTACGCTTGGAGTGTGTGACGTGTCGTCCTGGATTCTATCAGAATGAGACGGGCCAGGTGGAATGCGAAACCTGTCCGGTAAGCGCCCATTCATCCACTGGCGTCTCGGCATCCTGAACTGAGTGTCATGGTACGTGTGGCTCGACTGACCTATTCAGCTGGGGACATACTCTGGGGCTGCGGCCGAGACTTGTATTCCCTGTTCGCCAGGCTTCCACCAGGACTTGGCTGGTCAGAGCGAGTGCAAGGTCCGACATACCAACACGCACACGTGGCCGGCACGGGCCGTAAGTGCGACCCGTCTTGAACATTAGGCCTGCTCACCCGGCTCATTCACTGACACTCAAGGGAAGGTGCTTTGCGACCTGTGTCCGAAGGGCACCTTCACAGCTGAGCGGAACAGCAGTGTGTGCGAGGCATGCCCGCCGTACAAGGTATACACATTTCTCTCTTCATTCATCGAGACACAATGTGATGTGACGGCACTCTCACATTGTATTTGCAAAGACCACACTTGTGAGAGGCGAGATATCGGTGGACAAATGCACGTGTGACGAGGGTTCCTATCTTGACGTCAAGAACGACCGATGCAAAGGCAAGCAGACGGCAATGTTGTCGTGCAATCTATGTATGTATGTGCCGGGTTGGTTGGTTGCTGGCTGCAGACTGCGACGAGTACCTTGAATGTCCCGGCTCGTCTGCATTGCCGAGAGTGAAGGAGAATTACTGGGCGGCCCTGGAGGATGACGTTAGCGCCTTTTCAGCGTTGGATGTCTACGAATGCAGAGAGGCGGGAGCGTGCCTCGGTAAAAATCGCTGCAAAAGGATCGTTCGAGGCCGCCCTGCTTCCTTATTGATACGGCACGATGTGTGTATGCAGGTGGGTCACCCGACCCCTCCCTCGCCGACCAATTCCCCATGTGTGCTCCGGGCCGGGAGGGGATTGCATGCAGCCTGTGCAGCGACGGGTACTACAAAGCCGGCAAAGACTGTGATCCGTGCGGCAGTGGTAATGCGGGCACTGCGCCGCTGATAGCGGCAGTCTTCCTTGTGTTCTTTGGGGCCCTCGTCTTCCACTTATTCGTAGACACAATTGCCCTCGCGATGTCTCCCTGATTGCTTTGTGGCTTATGAGTGCTGCCTTCTGGATGTTTGCAGGTCAATTCCCCTCTCACGCGGAAGCTTGCCGTCACTGTCAACATTTCGCTTACAGTGGGGATGATGATCAGCTGTAAGCTCCTCTAGACACTGAAGCAAGAAGCGCGGCTGCATTGGAAGTGTGGATTGCTGTCAGTCTTCCAGTCGCTGTCGATTGTCGGCACATACAAGATCGGCTTTCCCGACGAGATTTCAGCAATTCGTAAGTCAGTCATGGGCACAGCCACCTGCAGCACGAAAAATACCCATCGCTCCTGTCTCACTTATGTGTATGCAGTAAAGTTTTCTCGCATCTTCTGTGAGCACCGCGCACTGCCGACAGCAGCGCCGAGAGGATGACATTGTGTCCACGCCATGAGTACGTGTTTGTGTGTCAGTGTTCGACGTCAAGTTCCTTCGCATTGGCTGCGTCCTCGGCAGCGACCCGTTGTCAGACTACGCAATCCGCCTGGCCATGGCACCCATGCTCGCAGCGGTGTTCCTGATCAACTGTGGCATCGCCAAGCTTACATATCGATACCTCGTCGGTAGGGAGACATGAAATGCATCATGTTCATCTCTGAGAGGATGCATCGCTGCAGGTCCGATGATCCTGAAAGACGCCGAAGGAGGGGGTGGCGAAGCCAAGCCCTGGCTAATTGATCGCTTCACCGGCCATCGTCAGGACAGCGACTCACCCGTGCCCAAATCGCTGAAGAAATACTCCTTCATGACAGGTGCGCCAAAGGTAGCATCATGTGGTGTGAACCAGACACACTCACCATCGCCCTCGGCTGCAGGTGGAACCCTGGTTGAGGGCGTCGCAACTAAGGACGGTTCTTGTGAGATGGTGGCGGTGCAAGATATCAACGATGAAGACCAGCAAAACCACAACGTCGACAACGATGTTAAGAAGAGCGACGACACGGTGCCACAAGACGCGAACGAAGCCGATGATGCAAGACCCAGAAGAAAGAGCGTTGTATTCGGCCAGGCGAAAGGAGACAACGCAGGCAATCCAAAGGAAAGCCAACGCTCAGGAACAGACACAAAAAGCAGCCAGAAAAGCAGTCAGAAAAGCAGCCAGCAGCCGGGGTCAGACGGCGATGACTTAAAGAAGAAGGACAAGCCGTGCAAAGACCAGCTCGGACGCGCGTCGATCGCGTCGATTCCGTGGCAGCAGTCGAAGGTAAGCGGCGTCATTCGTTGGGTGCGTGTGTCATCCGCTTACGTATTTCTTTCGACATGCAGTACGTGTTGGATCGGAAGAGGTACATGAGGTCGATCCTCGACTGGCGTACGTGGGCCAAGAGCGACGCCATGTCGCTCGACAAGACGCTCAACTCCATCGGCATGCTGACTGTGAGCACGCAGGATGAGTGGAAATACGAAGGCATTCGCATGCTGATTGCGTCCGTGTGCGTGTCTTCTGCTTGCCAGATGATTCTGTACATTTCCTTTGTGGCCAACGCCTGCCTGCCATTTCAATGTGTGTCGAACTCCAGCGGGCGCTCAACGATCCGAGAGTGAGCTAACCGGTGTGCGCATGACTGGTGATTGAACAAGTCATGGATCTCTGTGCAGGTACCCCTCCATAACTTGCGACTCTGACGAATAAAGAACCGCCTTTATGCCACTGGGATTGCTGGGAATGCTCGTATACGTGGTATGCTAGCACGGAATATCACTGATTCGACTAACGTGCTTGTCGATCCCTCACCCCGTCTCACATGTTTCCATGCAGATTGGGCTCTTCTCCTTCTTCGCATATGCTAGTATCATCGCGCCGTGGCACTTCGCCAAGCCCAGCTACAGAACGAGATTCAGATTCCTGGTCTTCAGATTTAGGTGGGGAATTGTGTCTCCACGTCTCCCCAGCGTGTGCACTGCCTCTCTCTGCCTGCGTAAAGACCGGATGTATATTGGTGGGGTGTGGTGCTGCTGGCTCGGAACGCTCTGCTGGCTACTGTTACCGTGATGGAGCCAGGCAAGTCACAGATACAAGCAAGTGTACACAGAATGGACACCTGCACACTGTGACTAGATGGGTTTGCCTGTTCTTGTGTGTCTGGCCAGATGACGGTGGGAGCTGTTCGAGTCGTCAGTATACACACACAAGCATCTTTGTACAGGCTAATGCGTGTGTCAGGCTTAATGCAAATCTTTGTCACGGTCCTGATCCTCCTCGTCTCCGCTTCTGCACAGGTACGTACACTGCTTGCCTGGTGAGCACCCTCCCAAAGTCTTGTCTGTCTGGACTTAATTAAGATATTCTGGTGGCCCTGGTCATCCGTCGCCAACAACTGTAACCAAACACAGGAAGAGCCTCGCTTCCGCGTATGTGTGTTGCTGTGTGCAGTCCTGGATGTGTTTCTCCTTATGTGCCTGACTCTAATCTCCGTGGCCGGATCCGTCTTCATCGAGAAAAACACAAATGAAAAGGTGCCAAGTGTCCCACACATTGATACATCCAAGTGTGAGGGTGGTGCAGTTCTTTTCCGGCGCGATAATCTTCATCCTCTCGCTTTGCTTCTTCAGTGTCGTCCTGGGCGTTGTAATGATATTGCCTTTGTGCACGTCATTTGTCGCTCCACAAAACGGAGAGGTTCTCTGCGTGTTGTTCCTTTCTTTGCAGATCATTCCGTTCGCCTCACAATTCAGTGAAAAGTTCCAAAAGAACGAGGAGCGGAAGGTCCTTGGACTGGCCTTCGACTTCAGAATCGTGAGCGAGCCTAACCGCCAGACACGTCATGCATCGTTGTGGATCACAGCATGTCTCTCCATGTGTGTGTGTGTGTACCCAGGTGGGGACTGCAGCCTCTCAGATGACGACCGAGGCAGTGATGGGTGAGCTCAATCAGGTGCCCGCAGTCGATCTGTACAAGCTCCGATCGTCCATCAACATGATCAAGGTGGGCTGATCGGCGACACATACATTGGCGCATTCATGAGTAGTGACTTTGGTGGAGTCTTTTTCTTGGTCGTAGATGGAGGTGATCCCTCACATCAGGTGAGAAATACGCGACTACGATCGCTGAAGTGGAGTGGTCTACCTCTACCGCAAGCCGCTCGTTGGTTCGCTGCCGTCAGGTACATAAGTGCCCTGAGAGGCGTGTTGAGCACTGAAGGTGAGTAGGGACCACTTCGATGCGGTTGATCGACTGATTCCCTGCCTTGTGTGCGTGAATGTTCTTCTTTAGGCTACCTCGACGAGCGTCTCGACTCCCACGCATTTGGGAGGGACATGCCCACAGCAAAGTCAGCAGGCAGCAGAGAGGGCATGCTGTGTCTCAGTTTGTTCATAAGAAGCACTGCGAGACCATGACATGGATTCTTGTCCAGGCGCCTCTCCTACCGAAATACAACAGTGCTGGAGGAGGATGCTGCCTCGGAGTACGAAGTCGATCAAGCTGTCGAGCACTTCAGGATGGTAAGACCGACAGAACAACACACAATACCTCCAATGCAGCCCGTCCACGTGTCTCTGCCCTCCTGGCATGGATGCAGAAGCGTGCGATGTCCGATCCCGAGCTCCACCTTGACGACGGACTCGGAGGGACTGTCGAGCAGGGCACTTCCATGTCTCCGGTCATCCAGAAGAAGCGCAGCGTGGATGACGGATCCCCTCGCAGCGTCACCTCCAAGCGCCCGTCGGTTGGGCAGATCCTCGCAGCCATCAACTCACCGCAGATGAATCAAGAGCGGCAAAAGAAAAGGCATTCTGTAACGAGGATGTCAAAGCTGATGTCTCTCGACGACAAGAAGGACCTGGCCATGGCATGGGTGAGCAAGAGAGACAGGCGAAATGGCCCACATGATGTCTCACCTTATTCGTCAGGCCAAGACAGAGCGAAATGTTGACGAGTGCGGGAAAGATGAGGTGCCTGACGATGATGAGCTTCCAATCGTTAAGCTGCCGCTGGGTAGGGTTGAAACATGGATCGCTTGATGGTGGCCTCTTGATCATGTGCTTTGTGGGGCCCAGGCAACATCGAGTTCGATGAAAAGGGGGTCGTTAAAGTTGCTACAGATATTCTGCGTGATCTGACCACAGAGGCAGACTCACCGCGGATGAGAACTCTCAAGGCATTCAGGTGCGCGGAATGTCACGGGAACAGCTGTGCGTGCATCCGCTGTCTGTGCTACCAGGACGGAAATGGACCGCGACTTTTGACAGAGCAGCAGAACGAGAGGAAGCGGGGCGGGACTTTCTGTGTCTCCTGTACTTTGTGGAGAGTTTTTGAGGCTTTGCCATGTCCCTGATGGAGGGATGGCTGGATGGATGGGCGGGTGGACGGGTGCCGCATGTGTCTGTTGAATGTCATTAACGTACGTACTAGGTAGGGCCTTTCCGGGCCTGTTGGCACAGCGCGTCTCGAGATGCCTTTGCTTCCAGCCACCCGGTGGCGGCCTGGCAGCACTGGCAGATGAGCACGCGTCTGACTTGGGGGCTGGGTGTGGTGTGGGCCTGGGGTGCTCAAGCCAACTTTCTAGTTACCGCGATTGCATGCAATGCATTGAAGGAGGGAGGGAAACGGCCGCGAAATATTCACATGACCGGCCGTCCCTAACATCCATCCATCCCACAAGGGAGGGAGAGACGGCGGGTCCTATCTGGTTCCCGCAACCTGCACGTTTTCCTGCCTGCCTGTCTGCCCTGCATGCCTGCATCTCGGCAGCAACGCCATGGTGGCTGCTGCCGGCTGCTGCCTCACTGTGACAGGCAGCAGCCACCATGACGTTACGGCAGAGAGAGTGACACAGGAAGACAGACAGGCAGGCAGGCAGACGTAGGATGCATTGTATCGTCCACCCAGTCAACACGAGTAAGAGTATGCACACGAACGGGACGGATGCATGCCATGAGCCCGCCCAGCCCACACAGAAAGAAATGCAGCACGAGATATAGATCATGGGAGCAAGCACACCGGCAAGCCGCCTCCCTCCCTCCCTCCGTATGCATAAAAGGAAGCGATCGGACGAAGGGAGGGCGCATCTCATTCATGCATAGCTACCTCATGCACACATGGCCACGAGCACCATCCATCCATCAGGCGTGCACATGCCATGAATGGCACCCCACCCAGCCAGCAGCGACCCACCCCTCCAGCCATCCCCACAGCCAGTCTCTATCTATCTGTGTATGGCTACCATCCGCCCACCCATCCCCATCGGTGTGGGCATCAACCCACCCCCCAGTGAGTGTCTCTCAGCTACGTCCGTCAGCCGCTACCTGTGTATCGCTATCTATCTATCGCTCGGTCGCGTGTGGGTCGGAGTGTGTGTGCGTGTCAGTTGTCCTGTTCGCCCTCGCCCTCGTCGAGTTTGGGTGCCAGGTAGAAGCACAGGCTGCCGGCGTTGTCACGGTTGTCCAGCAACGTGTACTTGACGCGCACAGGGGTGCCCTCGTTCATGCCTACACACACACATGGATGGATGGATGGATGGGTGCGTGTGGAGTTCATTGCAGGCACACGTGGCGTGTGCTCACTGAGTTCGACGAAGTCCGTGAGGGGTGTGGCACGTGTGAAGTAGTTGAGGTACCGCAGGGCGAACGACAACTCGACCGCCTCCTTGACCACAACCGTCACGTTCTCGGATTGCTGAACAGACGTCCACACAACACCATGCACCAGTGTGTGTGTGTGTGTGTGTGGAGTGGGGACGGTCCATTTGAATCTCACGTTTTCGTCCTTCTTGGCCTTCTTGGGTTTGAGGAAGACCTCCCCCTCGCCGACGTCGCCCTGGACCGAAAACGTGATGCCGTTCCTATTGCACGATATCTTGACTGAAGGAACGAATCACACCAGACACACCAGACAGACAGACAGACAGAGAGACAGACAGAGCGAGCGTGGTGGGCATGTAGGTCTATGAGCGTGGTGTGTGGTGTGTGTTGTGTCGATTCCGTCTGACTGGTGTCGCCGAATCCCGCCATGTCCCTGCAGATGCGCTGGAAGTCGCTGGCGGGTATCTTGGCGGTGCACTGGTAGTCGGTGTCCTGAGGGAGGCCGAGCTGCTCGGTCTCGATGTCCATGAGCTTCATCTTGATGCGGCTGCTGCGGTCGGGCTTCCAGCTGTCCTTGCGGATTTTCTCGTCCACGTTGGCCAGGGTCTCCTTCTCGTCGTCATCGCCGTCATCTAGGTCGTCGTCGTCGTCAAACTCCAACTCGTTCGTCTCTGCACGCACGCACAGACGGACACACATCAATGTCACACCCATGTGTGCCGCGTCTTGTTTCTCTCTCCCTCGCTGTGTATGTGTGGGGGGGTGTGATGCGATGCGCACGGACGCACCTCCGTCCTCCATCTTGACGTCTTTGGTGCTGGGCTTGCTCTTGCCCTCGTCCTCATCCATCTTGTCCTCCTCCTACAACACAACACAACACAACACAACACACACAGGAATCAAGCGCCCATAAACAAATCGGCGCCCGCTCCCGTGTCGACCCGTCCGTCCATCTTACTTTCTCGTCGGCATCCTCGTCCTTGACATCGTCGTCCTCGTCCTTCTCGTCCTCGCCGTCCTCACCCTTGTCCTTCTTGGCCTTCTTCTTGCCGCCCCCCGTTTTGCTCACGGTCGGCTTCTTGCGGCAGTCCTTCTTCTTGTCGGCCTCTATCTGCCGCAGCCTGGCGCGCACCAGCTGGCTCGGGGTGTCGAAAACGAACTCCACGTAGTCGGTGTCGGGGTGGGCCAGGAGCGTCAAGCGGTCCTCGCTGCCCATCAGACGCAGGATCTTGGTCACGTTGGCCATGCTGCTCACACACACGCACACACACACACACAGAGGGAGAGGGATGGGCGTGTGCAATGTTCGAATGCGAGTGTGGGTGTCGGTTTGGTGTTGTGTGTGTGGGTGGTGTGTGTGGTGTGGTGTGGTGTGGTGTGGTGTGTGTGGTGCGGTCACCGACATACTTGAATCCGAGGACGTATTCCTTGTCGCATCTATAGCGTTTGAAGCAGGAGGATGAGTCCATGGCGTTCATCTCCAACACTACCAGCGACACGTGGCTGCTGTCCATCGCCTGCAAACGGATCCCAGTCGAACCTGCACAAAACACACACACGCACACACACACACACACATACCCACACGCACATTTCGCAAGTGTGTGTGGAATTGTCCCTCCCGCTGCTGCTCACTGAGCGTGAAGTTGACGTCGGTGCACAGCTCCTTGACCGCATCGAAGATCTTCTTCAGGATGACGCCCTGCGATATGACCGCCTCGAACATGATGCTGCTGCGGCTGCTACTGCAGGGCTGCCCGAGGAAACGCCACCGGCAGATGCACAATGACCGATGACACGATCGCTACTGCGAATTCGCCACAAAACGAAGTGGCCGGGAAGGAAAGATGCGAGCTTCAAGCACGGAAGTGAAGCGTGAAAGATCGTGTGTGGACAGTCGCTATACAATGACAGACAGTCAATACAGCATACATCACCTAGATGGGGCACTCACTCTTCCCATTGCACTCGATGTCTGCGTGGCGATGGCCAAGATGTGCGACCTGAGTCCCTGAGTCGGCCTCTGCAGAGGAAACCCAGTAACTCAAAGAGCACACCGCACCGATACCCACACACACATCACCAAGGGTGCCAACCACACAGACAGCCATCAACCATCGACCTGATCCTGAGGCTGGCGTATGTCTGTGGCCGTCTTTTTGCACGTCGCACCTCCCGGAGTTCTTTACCACCCCTGGTAATGGGACAAAGAACGCCAGCAGGATGATGTGCACTAAGGCCAGCCCCAGACAAACACCCACCTCGTTGTTTTGGATAAGAAAAGAGGACAAGCACACACATCAGCCTCTCCACTCAGCACACCCATGCCATCCATTTCATTCAATGGATAATTGACATCAGCGAAAACTGCACATTCAGCCAGCCAGCCGTCATCGACAATAAACAAAACACCACTTATCCAACCTCCCCATCTTATCTACCCCACCGCCACAAATCGCCTTGGCAGCGCCTGTGGGTCGCTCGTCCCGCCGACCCCGCCCTGCACAGCCCCGCCCTCCTGAAGAGCGGCGGCAAACGGCGACGTGATGTTGGGCGTCGGTGGCACGAAAGAGACGTTACGCGCCTGGGTGTGGCTGGAGTGGTCTGATGCAAGGGAGGGGAGGGAGGGGACGGGTGGCGGGAAGGCAGAGAGGCCTGACGGGCCCGAGGGGCCGGGCGGGGAGCGGGGGGGAGGGCTCCTGTTCGACTTGGGTCTGTAGCCGCACCCGGTTAGGGTACACCAGATGGAGAAGACCTGGTCCATGAAGGGGGCTGAATGAAACACACACACGTTCACATGGACAACAGTGTAGTTGGCGATAGGTGTGTTGCGTGGATGGCTTCGTGAGTGTGAGTGAGTGAGCCTCCAGACATACCTGTCGGGTCGAGGATGGACGGCTCGTTGAAGTCGGCTGGGTCCTCGTCAGCCGAATCTAACTCTGCGACCTGCTTACGACACTTGACCACCTGGATGAACACAACACACAAGACAGCACAGAGCCTTGGCTTTGTCGCGTGGTCGTGTTTCCTGCCGTCAGCGATATATACCCACCCGCTCATAGAGGTTTGCGAGTCGAAGGCTGTACAGTCGCGCGTGGCCGCTGTGGCGAGCACCGCACGGAACACACTCACACTCCTGGAAAGAAAGAACAAACGCCATACCCACCCACCCCATGAGCAGGCGTCCCTCTCTCCCTCCCTCCCCTGTGCTTTCCCCCAGTAAGCAGGCCTAGCGTACCATCCTCTGCAGCTCCTGGTCGATGGCCAGCGACTCCCGCTCCAGACGAGCGACCTCCAGATGGATGGAGGCCATGTCCGGGGCCGCCCGGGGGGTAATGCTGCTGCCGAGTGGGCTGTTGCTGCAGTCGTGGCTGTCGCAGCCGTCATGGCTCGCTGTCCTGGCACTCAAGGCGCTGCAGTCACCGGTCATGTTCTGGGTGTCGGGGTCCCACAACCACCGCAACTGCGCAAAAGGAGCAGACAGAAGAAAGATAAAGGGTGCCTTCTCCCTTTGTAGTCAAGTCAGCAGAGTGCCGAATGTGTGCGCTTACGCACCTCTGCCTCGACCTTACACAGAGCCGCCTCGAAGGAGCGCAACTGGCCCTCCTGAGCAGAGAGCGAAAAAGCGATACAGTAAGAACGTGCCTGTGCACTTCTGCTGTTTGTCGCTTACCACGTGTTGCGCGAGAGCGTGATATTTTTGCTCCTGCCTGTCCTCCGTCACCAAGCCCTCGGATTTCATTGTCGCTTCAACCAACGCCGAAAAAGATCACAGGAATGCAATGCTATCAAAAGAGCAGGGAGGGGCGCTACAAACAACCACGGTTCCTGAGGGAAATGGATCGGGTTAAAGCTCGCAATCGCATGCAAGACGCCCCCTTCTGCCCCCTTCAACGCTCTCTGCCCCGATGGTATTTGCAATGAATTGTGGATGATGTAGGGCGGGCGACTCCACTCCCATTGCGAAGATGCAGAGCTACGCTGTGGGATTCACCGTGCACGATGCCGAGGGCCTCGTCACGAAGCGCGGGACGATTGATCCGGTAAGCGCATGGAAGGCTGATCACGTTTCTATCTCCGTGTCGTATGCGTGCCAGCTGGTGGTGGTGCGGTGCTGCGGCCGGGAATATCGCACCGAAGTGAAACGGTAAGCACCTTCCCACATGGCTGGCTCGATAACACCAGCCATCTTGCTGTCTTGATCTTCTGCCGCCACCATCTATTTGTCTGCATTCAGCGGCAAAGCGTCTGTAGTGAGTTGGGATGAGAAGTTCATCTGGTCTCACATGCCCCTCACCCGAGAGGTCACAAAAGGAGAGACAAAGGAAATCTGAGACTCAGTGCCACGCGCCTCTACATTCATTTGGTGTCTGTGCAGGAGTGGGAGACGGCATTCATCGAGTTTGAAGTGCAGGTGATGTCAATGCATTCCGTGGCATGTCAAGCGAGGCACTCACTCCTGCGCGCATCCGTCCATCAAACTTTCTCTCAGGATGCGAATTCCTTCTGGCGCAACGATGTCGTCGGCATCGCATCCATACAACGTACGTATTCGCTGGATGGGTATTCAGATCGACTGACTGGTGAGGTCTCGTCTTTCTCTCTGTGTCAGTTGTGTTGGTGAATCGGCGTCCCTCTCACCAAGTGCGACGGAGGCGGCTGTCCCTGTTCGACATCGAAGACACCGCCAAGAAAAGAGTGAGATGCCTAGCATAGGCCTCTCGCTGCCACTCGGATTGTTGGTCATTTATGCCAGGGCACGCTGACCGTGACTGTCTTCGCGTGTGAGCCAGGCCAGAGCCCCCCAAATGCCGAGATTAGACAGTTCGAGTGAGGGAAAGAAAGACGCTCCCGAAAGGGCTGGACAGAAAGGCTTTGCATTGGTCTCTTGTTGGTTTGGTGCTGTCAGCGACTCTGGTGAGGTGCCTGAAGAGTCCTTTGAGGACCTCAGAAAATTTGTGCTCGGGCGACAACGTGAGCAGTGAGAGCGCTCTGAGACGCCTCACATCCTACCTACATTCTATGGATGTCTGTCTTCAGGTAAGGAATTGGATGCGACTGGAAAGCCCTACCATCTGTTCGTCACCGTGACGAGGATTGAAGACCTGCCCCTCACGCCAGCTGGAGGTCAGCTGGCTGAAATGAGAATCGATGAGGGGGTTGATGTCGATGAGAGCAGGTCTCATTCTTCTTTCCTTCAGCGCTGCCCAACCCCTTCATTACGGTCGAATTTGGAAGTAGTGTGCTCAAATCAGTGAGTTCAGGGGGAAGGCAAGCCCTTCACGACTGACATGTCTCATGTGTGTCTGTTAGTCAGACAGAGGCTTCGGGGACGACCCACACATTCAATGAGACATTCAGGCTCCCAGTGATCGCTCCCGTCCTCGAGGTAGCCATTCATTACACACACGCAAGTGCACGCACACAAGCATATCTTTGTTGTGTCTACCAGGATACAATTCTGGTTCGGGTGTGGGACCACCAAGGCATGGCCAACGACTATCTCATCGCACAGGTAGTAAGCCATACACGCATAGGAGGAAGCCACGTCGTCTCAGGCAGATGTCTCTCTCATGCACGCAATGATCCATCAGGGCAGGATTTCCTTCTCGGAGCTGCGAGGCCAACAATTGCAGCCACGGTCGGTCGGCACAAGATGATATGTATGTATACTGCCCGAACGGAATCCAAACAGTAACCAACTGCATGTATGTATGCAGGTGGTATAACTTCTACGGTTTCCTGCCTGGCGAGTCTCCTGCCCTAATGCCTGATGGCGGCGAGATGGCGAGTGAGGGCAATGTGTACCTCGGCCGCATTCTCCTCTCGGCAAGGTTTGTTTGCACCTGTGTTGAGGAGACACAACTCAGCACCACAACAAAAGAGACAGCATGATAGACACATTGGCAGGCCATCTGTGGGCTGTGCTGCAGGCTGGAGCGTCTCGAAAGCATCGCCAAGATGCAGTCACTCGGGGTCCGTGCAAGACTCACGACACAAGAATGGCACACGTTCATCAAGGCACTGTCTGTTCTCTCGCATCAGATCCTCGTAGCGCGGCCCGTCGAGGAGCCTCAGAGGCGGCCATGTCAGGTGTTGGCGGACGTCTACGAGGTGCACGGCATCGAGGCGTCATACGTCAGTGTGGAGGTGGCGTGGGGCCCATACAGACAGCGGACGCCCAGATGGGGTGCGCGGGTGGCCGGCAGCGAGGCCAGGTACCCTTTTGAGTACCGGGAAGGCAGAATCGAGGTCTTGTCTGCACTGGTGGGCGGCAAAACGCTCAAAGAGTCGGGGTCCGGATGGATGGATGGATGATGGTTGGGTTTGTCTGTTGTGTGTGTGTGCAGGTGCCTGTGGATGAGGAGCAGCAGTGGGAGGTGATCGTCAGTGTGTACAGCAGGACCATGCAGCCCGGAGAGAGGCGAGTCGCATACCATCGATTCACGTACACAAGCAAGCAAACGAACACTTGCACAGCCCCTTATCTCTTGTGGCGGACACACAGCTTGGAGGAGCTGCCAATTTTCACCGGCACGGTGCCTCAGCAGCCGCTGTGGATTCCTCTGCACCCACTCACACACTACGGAACGAGGGGCACAAAACAAGTAAGACCACAGTCATCTGTGCCTCTCCGCGTCTCGTCACAAGCATGCGTGTCCCGGCAGTTGAGCGGCTCTGTGCTGGTTTCCCTGGAAAAATCCTTCGCAGAGAACGTCAGTCGAGCAAGGTATACATGCATCGGTATCGCGACACAAGCACAGCTGAGTCGTCTCTTGCAATGATCCGCAGGCGGCCTCCAATCTCCGTTGTGGATTACGAGCTGCGATGCTACATCTACGCCGCTCGCTCGCTGGGCTTCCCCGCCACCGCACACACACTCACAGAGCCGCCCAACGCGCTTGTGGAGGTGTGTGAAGCACAAGGGAAGTCGACCGTTTCGTGCTGTGTATGGCTTTTGCTCGTTTGTTGTGTGTGCGCAGGTGCACTGTGCGGGCGGGAAGGGTGAGACTGTCTGTCAGAGAAGTCACTACCCCGCGTGGATGCAAAATCGTCAAGATTAAACTCAACCTCACAGTGAGGGATGATCATCATGCAAGCACCGACGTCTCTCTCATTCACGCCTTTCTGTCCACACAGGTGGATGTGTCGACCAGTGTGCCGTCCCTCCAGCCAGTGGAGCTGCGTGTGATGGACCACCATCGGTGGACCGGCCGCACACTCATCGGCCAAGCAACCTGCAGAGTGGACAAACTCAGAGCATCCGGCGCACCTGACGTCAGTCAGTCACACGCTGTGAACGATTCAGTGGCTGGATGAATAAATGCACTCGCCATGTGCGCATGCCCGCAGGACAAAAAGGCTTCTCCGGTGTTGCTCAAGATCGACCCGCAGTGGGTGAAGCTGCGAGGCGGGCATCACCTCAACGTCCACACGGGAGACCTTCTCTGCTGCTGCGAAGTCATTCGGTCAGCCGGCAAGCGCATACAAACAATCATGTCTCAGAAACGCTTTCACGCTTGTGTGTCTCCATCAGTCTGAAGGAAGCGTCAAAGGTCGCTCCGATGCCGATGGTTCCCGAATGGCGCCTGTGCACCTTCTACTTCTCCCTCTACGGCCTCGTCGGCCTCACCACCAAAGACGTCACCAGGACAGACATCGGAGAGGCCATCCTCGAATCCCCACATCGGCTGCTGTCGATCAAGGGCGCCATGGACTTCCTCAACATGGCCGTCAGGCAAGTGCAAGGTCCGCAAGAAGCCGAGGAGGGGAATGTCACCAAGCCACTCGTCGAGCTGTCCGTGACGAAGTATGGCGAAAAGGGCGGCGATGGCCTGCCGATCGACGTGCCCGAGATGGTGATTGCGTCAGTGGAGTACGATGAGGTGGTCGCATGGGATCCGCTGGAGAGGAAGCGCAATTGGCGGACGGCTCGCGGCAAGTCATTCGACTTCTTTGCCGTCGTCAAGGGAGACGCCATGCTGCCGGAGCTACCGTTCCTCGATCCAAGGCTCTTCATCAAGGCAGGCAGGCCAGCAAGGGCCGTGTCATTGGATGGCCCCCATCTGTCTGGGAAGTGCAGGTGTTCAGCCAGTCGCCCAATGGCGACCGCACCTACATCGGTCAGCACACCATCCGGCTGCTGCCCCTCTGCCCGTGGCTCAAGAACATCCAAGCCTGTGAGCTGGCCACCCGGGCTCAAGAGGATTTCGTCCACACGCTCAACCTCGACACGATGCAAAAGGAAGTCGACCGCATCAAGGATGAGCAGCGGGCGCTCAAGGCGCGTGTGGTGGGCAAGAAGGACCAGGTCGAAAATCCGGTTCTGAAGGCGTTGAGGCTGGCTGACGAGGAGGCGCAGAGAAAGGAAGAGATGGAACGAGAGGCGGCCAGAAGGGAAAGCGGAGAGTATGTTGAGGTAAAAAAGGGTCAAGGGGACGCCAGCTCATGAGTCACTTTGGAATATCTCTGTATTGTTCAGACCGACTACACGTGGCTGCAGCCGACTGGTCTGCCCACCGGCTTCCCAATCGTGAGCTGACTGACCACAGACATACGAGCTTCATGCACAAGTGTCTCTTCCGCTAAAGGATGGTGCATTGGATGAGGAGACGGGCAAGTATCCGTTCACGCCGATACTCCACAACATGCTTACTCTCAACCTCTACATACCAAGAAAGTGAGCGCCCAAAGAAGGAGGAGGAGGAGGAGGAGGAGAAAGACTGCGTTGCTTTTGTGGGTCCCTTTCGCAGTTTTGTGGTCCATTGCGAGGGTGACGGCCTGCAGACTGACGCTGAGCTGGAGAACACGGCTGGCGTGAGGCCGTCAGTCGACGGACCTTTGGAAGACTTCCTTGACGGTCGGCCAAAGCCATCCTTACTGCACACACACACGCGCGAACTCATGTATGTCTGCAGACCTGTATTGGCCGTTGCTGCCCCTTCATCGCGCGCTGATCCCCTGCCCTGACCCTGGACTGGGGAGGGGATACGTCAAGTCATGCTTCTTGCTCATGACCCAGGAACAGAGTACGTACCTGAGGCAAACCACAGGAGGTTTCGTTTGACGAAAATCTCAGTGCATGTAAGCAGATGGCCGGACGATTGCGTCTGACCCCGTGAGTGCCGATGTGACGTCGTATGCATTGGACCCCAAGACGTTTCGCACCCGATTCAGGGACCGAAGCCGACTGCCAAGCCTAATGAGGCTCAGGTTCGCATACGGAAATTCATGCAGACAGAGGAGTATTCTGCGTCTGTCTCCTTTCTGTCGCAACAGGCTGTACATCATTCGTGCAGTTGCCTTGCAGGCTCGCGATGCGACGGGCTCGTCAGACCCATATCTTGTCATCACCTACGGAGCAGACAGCGTGAGCTGAGCTGCGGCTTCACCCACCCACCCACCCATTCACCACTCGCCCCTACAACCTTCATTCATTTGTGTGTGTGTGTGTCTCTAGGTAGACTACCGGTTCACGGCCAAGAAGCAGACCCTGCAGCCTGAGTTCTACCGCACGGAGGAGCGCGACATACGGCTGCCCGACCAGAGCCAGGTCATCATAGAGGTGTGGGACAAGGATGAGGGCATCGGCCAACACGATGACCTCATCGGCGCAACCACCATCGACCTCGAAGAGCGGTAGGTGGGGGCTTTCACTCTCTCCGGCAGGGAAGGAACATCTATGCGAGATGGTCATTGATCGCAGGTGGTTTTCGCAGCAGTGGCAGAGTCCACCAGGCGGGGGGCTGGTCGGATGCCGATTGAGCTGAGGCCCCTCTGGAACTATGTCAGAGACATAGGGGACCCTGTCAAGCAACACACGAGGTGAGCGCAAGGAAGGCGGACACGCAAAGAAGAAAGGGACACGATATGCAAACCGTTCCCACGTACTTTTGTGCGTCAGTCGGGGCACGCTGGAGCTGTGGCTGGAGATGCTGGATATCAACGATGCGGCAGACATTCCCCCAACAGAGCTCAGGGACCCCTCCCCTGTGGAAGTGGAAATCAGGCAACCGACAAACAAGGAGAAAGACCCCACATGTGTTTCATACGCATGTGTCTGACACAGGTTGGTCATCTGGGCCGTCCGCGCTCTCAAGCCCAACGTGGGCTCCTCCAAGAAATATGTAGACGCGATGGTGCGCGTGGCTCTCGACTGCGCCACTTACGAGGGCCGGCAGCCGACCTCACAGACGACCGACGTCCACTACTCGGCCAGCGACACAGCAACCTTCAACTGGCGAGTGGTTTTCTCAAACATCCAGACGCCCTCGGCCGTCTGCGTTGCGCAGATATCGCTGCTCGACTTCAACTCGGTCGGCGCACCGACCTTCCTGGGGGAGGTCAATTTGGATCTGGACAAGTATGTGGACCGCGTGGCTGCGGAGCTCACCGCACTCAAAGCTGATGCTGAACTGAAAATCACAAACGTGTACGTTTCGAGAGACTTCTTGTTCCGGCACGGGAGGGAATGAGACACGCTCCTTCTGTGTGTGTGTGTGTGCACAGGTCTGCGCCGAATCCCAACGAGGCTCAGGCGTATGTGCAGCTGAGTCTGGAGGTGCTCTCACAGCCCGAGGCCAACAGCAGCAGGGTGGGGCTGGGCCGCGAGAAGCCCAACCGGGGCCCTCGGCTGCTGACGCCCACTGAGGGGCGGGGATGGGACGACTATCTCAAGGGACTGGATTTCGGCCTTGGGGCGTTTCTCAGGGAGGTGTGGCTTCGGGTGAGTGAATGAGGGAAAGAGGAGATAGATGTCTCAGAGACATGCATCGATGCGGCAGAATCTTCGTTTGGTTGTTTGTGGGTGTGGTGTGGTGTGCTTTGGTGCAGCTTCGTGTGGTGCTGGTGTTGTTATTTACGGCCCTCTTGATTGTGATCCTCATTGTGTATCCCGCGCTGGTCTACCAGTGATAGCTAACTGCACTGCAGCACGGCATGTGAGTCTTTGTTCGTACTCGTCATCTCCTGGACTGAGGGTGTGCTCTCGCCCATTTGTAAAGCGATTTACATAGCGACGACATGTTTGCCTGCTTTCTGCTTCTCTAGGGTCTAGATGACAGGATCTGAGACCCAGAGTGTCAACTCTGAAACGTGACGACACAGGTCTTCAGAGGTCACCCTCGGTGCATTCGGGGAGAAAAAGAAATGCCTTTGATCAGCCCTTGATTGGCAGGAAGGTCCATGCATCCATCCATCCATCCGTCCATCTCGCTTGGCATCCAGGCAGCCACCAAAAAGCAAAAGACAGCCATTCATGCACCACACTCTCTCCCTCCCTCCCTCCCTCCCTCCCCCCCCTGTACAATCACAACTGCACACAGGCAGGCAGGCAGGAAAGAGGCATGCCAGGCGGAAATGATAGTCACAAACGTGGCCAACCAGTAGATGCAGCCAGCCAGCCACACATCAGGCCGGCAGGCGGGTCGACGTCACGCCCATTATGCAGTGTAATCGGGTGAGTGTGTGAGCGTGTGAAGGGTTCTGTCTGATTCTTAGCAGCAGTAGCAGTGGCTGAAGAGCAGCTCCATCACTGCGCGCTCCATCTGGGGGTACGATTTGGGCTTGCCCTTGTTGTAGCTGTCGTACCTGATCTGGTCGATGATGTCATTCCTCCCCTCTTTGGAGCAGCTGTAGTACTTATGGTGCGGTCTAAGCTGAAGGCCGGTCTTTCCCTGGAACTTGTCCGCTTGACGAGATATCGTGTTCGGATCAAGCATGCAATTTGTGCCGTACAGGGCCCGGGCGGGGCTCGTTGATCGGCAGTATTCTTGGCCTGCAGACCAGGTCGGGTGGTCCCCAAACGCACACCCTGCACCATTCAAAACAGCCCTTGTTCATAGCATGGTCAGTGTGCATGGATGCGGCTCACGTCGGTTCTTGTCGCACAAGGGTTGGTAGGTATCTAGACCTGAGCGGGGCGGCATCTCAGCAAATGATCCTGCACACACGATGTCATGTCACACACCTCCATAACAAAAACTCTCACGCTGTTTAATTGTCTCCTCAAACAATGCAGACTTACCAGGTGTTCCCGTCATGATGCCCTTGAGCTGCTGCCGTGCCTGTTCGAGATGGTCAAGGGCCCCACTGAGCAATACACCGTTCCGACCAATGGCGGCCAGGGAGGCGTTGATGCCGGCCTTTGCAGCCGTGAATGAGTGCTGCAGGAGCGAAAGGTCATCACTGCTGTCTGCACCACACAGAACGAACAAAGAATAAGTGCATCAGAAGGCCAGCGTGGGTGCATGGATCAGGTCGGCGACTCACCCTGTGAGGCGCGGCTGCCGTCGAGGCATTCGGCAGCACTGCTGGTGCACACCAGCACGCAAAACGCGACCAGTGCACTCATGTGGGCCGGCAACACCCTCTCTTATCGCGTTTCTCATCTGCAGCAGACCGCGAGCTTGAGCTCGCACAAAGGGAGCAGATCTCTCCTCTGCCATAAGCGGCATAGATCTGCCATAAGCGGCATAGATCCTGTATTCCATTTCTACCTGCAGCTGCGTCGTGAGTCACGATGACGATGAATCAGCTCTACGGTAAGTACTTACGTGCGGGAACAAAACACACAAGGACTGACTGGTAGATGCTTCCTCTGCCGCCTCGCCTTGTTGTTCATTGAATGGTTTGGTCAGTTGGCAACTTCCCCTACGACGCGACAGAGGATGAGCTCAAGGAGGTCATGTCACGCGTAGGACCCACCTCTAGCGTGAGAATCGTGTACGACAAGGAAACCCGCCACTCCAAGGGCTATGGATTCGTCGAATACCGTGATCCCGAGCTCTGCAAAGCCGCCCTCGACAACCTGCAGGGCGTCCACGTCAGAGGTAGGGGGACCATGTGAGCAAGGATGCCAACAGCTGGCTGGTTGTGCGGTCAGTCATCCTTGCTGCTTCTCGGTGTGCTGCCTGTCCTGTCCTGTCCTGTCCTGTCCTGTCCTGTCCTTCCCCTCTCTGTGTATATCAGGGCGGCCACTTCGGCTGGACTGGAAGAGCGACGAGCAGCGGCGGACTCTGGGGCTGGGAGACAACCAGGACTCGCGAACGGCATCCAGACGTACGCACACATGACCACACACCCACGCATCCCCAAAATGACTGACTGCATCTGTTTGTGTGTGTCAGGTCCAGGCCCATCTCCATCGCGTGTTGGTGGGGTGGACACAGCGGGTGGCAGGGGAGGGGGATGGGATGTCCAGGGCACCACAGCACCCGCAGCTGCACCGGGGCAATCGGTACGGGCGGCGCAACGGGCGAGGGGAGATGGGAAGCACAGCACTGGCATCGGCCAAGGGAGTGTGGGTGTGTGTGTCCGCGCGGGTGCGTTGTAGATCTACGATGAGGAGGGCTCGCTCGTCGGCGAAGTGGCCGAGGTGAGTAGAGAGATGGACAGACAAGTGGCTGACTTGACTGGCCCGCTTCTCCTCGCTCCATCCATCCATCCATCCATCCCCACTTGCTTGTCCGCCCTCCCCTGGCTGGCTGCAGATAATGCAGAAGATGTCCACTGCGCAGCTGTTCTACATCCTGGGACATATGCAGGTCGGTCTGTGTGCACACAATGAATGCACCACAGCCGGCACATCCACCGGTGGGGTCTGTTCTGTGTGTGCTGCAGAAGCTGGTCATCCAGGCGCCTGACGTTGCGAGGGCCCTGCTGCTGGGTAAGTAACCGGGGCACAAGAAATGCCGTCAGTCAGTGACATACATGGCCATTCGATTCCCTCCCGCCCGCCGGTGCTTGCCGTCCCTCCCTCCCTCAGACAACCCCCAGCTGTGCTATGCGCTCCTCCATGCCCAGTTCATCACGGGCATGATCGACGAAAAGTTCCTCGTAAGACAGACAAGACATGCTCACATGGCTTGTGCAGACAGAAATTGGGCCTTCTTTGTGCTTCTGTGGCGCATGCAGCCTCTGACAAAGGACCAGCTAGATCGCGCCCGTCAGGTGCAGGAACGAAAGAAGGTAACCAGCACACCAGGGACGGCACCTGACCGACCCGACCCGGCGACAGCACATACACACCACGGGCTCTCTCCCTCTCTCTTCTCTTCGCCTTTGCTTTTGCCGTGCCGGCAGGCTGAGTTGGAGCAGGCAGGAGTGTTTGTGCCCGTCATGACCGCACCGGCAGCTGCCGCCGCCATGTGTAAGCAACGCAACGCAACGATGAGATGGGGGCCCAGGATGGATACGATCGACACATCATGTCTGTCCATTCTGCCTGTCTGTGTCTGGGGGGCCTGTGCTGTGCCACATACATCTGTCTGCAGTGGGTGCTGCCAACCCGGCACAGCTGGTAAGTCCCTGCGGCATGGCCACTGGACCTCCCTCTTGCGTGATCGCTCTACCATACATACCTGTCGGTCGCTTCAGGCCCGTGACGTGGTTGCTGCCGCAGCGGCAGCAGCAGCCCCCCGTTATCGGTCGCCCCAGCCGGCCCCCGTCAGCGTGCCCGCCGGCCTGGGCGGCCTCCCCGCTGCTGCCGCTGCTGCTGCTGCTGGTGGTGCTGCCGCGGCACCAAGTGCTGCCACGACAGGTGGGGGGATTGACAGACAGACACAGACAGACGTGCTGTTGTATGTTGGCGTACATGGCCATGGCCTGTACGGTTGGTGTGATTGTCCCTAATGGTGTTGTTGAAGGTGTTGGTGGGATCCCAGCCGCCTTGCAAGACTTCCCGGGCGGCATTACTGAAGTCCTCAACAAGTGAGCTGTGGCCGCTCCCCTCACTCATCCATCGGCCGACCGATGCATCTTTCTTATTCTTGGGTCGGTGATGGATGGTTGTATGTGGTTGTCACCCAGGTTGAAGAACCTCACGCCGCAGGAGCTGGAGTCGCTGAGCCCGGAGGACAGGAGCCGCCTGCTCAACCTCAGACAGGTACACACCACACCACATCGAACCACACGAACACACACCAATGTCAGGCAGGGGGTCTGCAAAGCTGTTCGTTCGGTCTTGTGTGCTGTGTTGTGTGCAGCAACTCCTGGCTGGTGCGGGGTAGCAAGGCAAGAGTGGAAGTCACGTCTGGCAGATAGATCAGAATGTATATAGGCATTCGTACGTCAGGCAGTCAAGTGAGCACGGCAAACGGCCCATGCGAGTGCGGGGACGGTGGACGTGTGATAGGCGGATATCCTGACGTGGCCGTTAGCGTGTGCGCCTGCCACGTCCGTCGTCGCCGCATCCGCATGGGCCGTTTGCCGTGCAGAGTAGGACAAGTATGTGTCAATGTTTCTGGTTGGCGTTGCACGAAGGAAGCACCACAGTGACTCCACAGTGACTCTGAACTGACGAACACAGACACTTCTTGAACGCATTAAGCCGGCTGCTGGGGGCGGCCCCCATCTCGAGACTGAGACTGCAGTGGAACGGCCCGGATCTGTTTGAGCGCTGGTCGGCTTGTGCAGAAATGCGACCATCCTTGAGCTTCCCATTTGCCGGGTGCCGACTGCCTGAGGCGCCCCACACAGTTTTGCTCACCGATGCAGGTTCGTGGACGAACATGACACAAAGGGCAACGCACAGACGGTCCTTCATGTCATCGTTACTGCAGGTAACAACGCCATCTTGGTGTGCAGCAGAGACGACGGGACATTGTCGTGCCTGCACGGCAAGCAGTGGAAGCAGCCCGCCGGTAGGTATGCAGTCCATGCGCATCAAGACCTACCGCTTTGCCGCTGTTGTGGTTGTGTGTGTGGATGCGATGCAGGCATTGCTGTCTTCTCCGACACTTCAGCAGTAGTTGCAGACAGGTATGCGTTGCACTGCACTGCACGTGGCCATCTGCACTTCCTACTTTCTCTGTACCGACCGGTGTTCTGTCCGCCTGCATTGCAGCGGTCACCACCGCATCAAGATCTTGGAGATGGCGAGTGAAGGTCGTGCAACGGGTGTGAGGGTCCTGGCGGGCGCTGGGCATGCTGGCTATCGAGATGGGCCGGCAAGAGACGCATGGTTCCACACGCCCACTGGTATGGTGGGATGGAAACACCCAAGTGCACGTCACGTCGATGGGCGATGGCATGCAGTGCACTGCAATGCATGGATCCGATGCAGGTCTTTGTGTGGTAAAGGAGACGTCACGAGGTTGCTCTCGGAGGCCAGAAGCGACAGATGGACGAATGGTGCTGGGTGAGGCACACCACGCGCCACCCCAGCCGGCGAATAGCAGTGCAGTCAGTCCGTTGTGTGGTGTGTCTCATCTGTCCTATACACAGTCGCCGACAGTGGCAACTCATGCATTCGCTACATCAAGCGAGGCATCGACGGCCAATGGACAGTCGGCACCCTGGCAGGCAGCACCGTGCCAGGCAGCATCGGCGGCCTCGCCACCCACTGCAGATTCGGCGCCCCATCGCACATCCTTCCTCTCCGGCTGCCCCCCGCCACACCCCTGCCAACTACCGACCCACTCACCACCCTGCCCGACGACATGACTCTCCTGGTCCTCGACAATCCCCCGCTGACGACGAGAGAAGGGGAAGATGTGACGCGAGATGAGTTTGGGTGTCTGCGGTTTGTGTATCGCGCCAAGAACGGGTTGATGAGGTGCAGGGGTGTGGGGGGGGAGTGGGCGGAGGGGGAGAGCGGGGCGGCCCGATTGAGGAGGCCCATGTCTGCGGCGTGGACGAGGTCAGGATAAACTGAGGAATGGATGGACGGATGCTTGACGCCACGTATGTTGTGAGCATGTGTCGTCGCGTCTCGTCGTTTCCTTCAGTGATGGCCGTGTCCTGATCTGCGACGGGTCATCGACCCATGCCAAAATATGGTCAGTCACCGGACCTGCCTGCCTGCCTTGCGGCATGGCATCTGCGTTGCCCATTTCCTGCAGGCAGCTTGACCTGGGAAGCCGGCGGGCCTCCCCTCTGCACATCTTCATCCACCACCACTCCCAGCCAGAAGTCACGACACCGGCCGACACGGACACCCATATGTCGCCAAGAGACATGTTCCATCACGGCTTTCTGCCATTGTCTCTGGTGCCATGCTTCGCCCCGCCCCCGGCCCCCCTCCCCCCCAAGCGCAGCATTGAGGCGCGAGACAGCAGTGAGACCGAGGATGAATATCTGCTGACTGGGGTAATGGTGAGACATGGGTCTGCAGAGAAGGCGGCCAGTGATTTCCACCCGCTGAGGTGTTTGGGTGCTATGGGTGGAGGTGGAGGTGGCGGAGACACGCAGGGATGGTTGTGGAAGCTGTCTGTCGGTGAGTTTGAGGGTGGGTGGGAGGGAGACTTGTCATGTCTGCTTTGTCTGCAGGCAGGCGTGATGAGCCGGCGAGAGCCTCCCTTATTCATCCTGGCTCCCTGCCGGCCCCTCAGCCCCTATCTGCTGCAAAAAACAGCGACGCCATGACACACCCTAAGCCCCCTCCCGCCCCTGTGGGTCTGCCCCCGCCACCACCCCTGGTTGTAGAGGACAGAGGGAGGGGTGAGAGGTGTGCTTCCGTGAGTTTGATGGACTACCTGAAACAGAGAAGGGCTGCCGAGCGGAGGAGGGCAACACATGTGTGACGGTCTTTCCAGGGGGCGAGAGAAGAGACACTATGGCAGATGCCCTTAAGCTAGCTGAGTCCACCGTGGTTCAGAATATGTCGGTCTGTCTACCTAAGATTCGTCTCAGGCCATGATGATATTGGTCCGTACTAGCACTAGATGTCTCCTCGCCCCGCCCCCCGCAGCGATCAATCCATTCACCCACCCACATCGTTTGGCCTGACTGGTCTCCCTCCCACATCCCTGGACAAGATCAGAGCTAAGTTCGGTGGACGAGCTGCTCTAGAGTCAACTAACCCGCACAGACGCACGGACCGACTGCTACCGAGCACCCCCAACAATCGCACACACACTTTTTGATGAACACACTTTGATGAAAACAAGGGGAACACTTTGATGAAAACTACTTTGAAGAAAGACCAAGACACATAGGAGTAGACAGGCAAAATGACATACGGAAGGAATCACAGCAGCGTCGAGTGCAGACACACACACACACACACACAGACAGAGAGAGCGAGAGAGAGAGAGAGAGAGAGAGGGGCGGGGGGGAAGACACGTCTCGTCCGGGGTATGCAGTCAGCAGTGCTCGCACGTCGAACCGTCACCGCACAGAGGTCGACGTCTGTCTCTGTCCCTAAGACTTGCCCGCCCTCTCGTCGGCCTAACTCTTCTGCATTGCCGTAAGAACGCACTCTCCGCGACCCCTGCCGGACAGGTGACCTCCCGGTCCTTTTGCCTTCACCTCGGCACACACCTTCGTGACTTTCTCGAAGGTCATTGGCTCCGTCAGTCCGGGAATCTGCACACACACACACACAGACACACAAACACACACAAACACGCACACACAGATTGGCCAAGATGCGTCGCTTCAGGTGTGAAGAGTGTTGCTTACGGTGACTTCTATGATCTCCTTGACGTCGAGGTCTGCCCGACGGTAGCAGCAGGGCTTCCTGGATCCTCTGCAGTGAGCCTCCCCCAGGTTGACTGTGAGCATATCAAGGACCTGACCCTCATCAGCCTCGATGCAGAAGACCTTGCTGCACGAATGGCGCTTGCCGTCCGCTCCGGTGGGCTTGGTGGTGCAGTCTAAGTCCTCCTTCTTGGACGACACGGCCAGCTGTCGAACCTGCACACACACACACACACGCAGAAACAGCGTGACACAAGTGCCCGGTGGTACACAGTTCGGCAATCAGTAATTGATCCCTACTGGAGCAGTGGCAGCGTTGTCGTGGTCGTCCTGGATGTGGCGGAGGGAGGGGGAACGCTCCACGCCGGGTGCAGCGCCGACCAGCACGAGGGCACCGACAAGGCACACGAGAAGCTTCATTGCGAGCACAAACGCGATGGCCGAACCAACACACGAAAGAGCGAACGGTGAAAGAAGCAAGCGTGGGATGGGATCGATGCGTTTCCGCCCGCGATATCTCTTCCCCCCATGCATCCCTCTCCTCGATCTCCAGGTTTACGAATCATACAGCGGTTTTACGGGGGAAGGACGATGCCCTAGGCCGATTGATGAGAGAGGTCTGATCAACTCGCGGTGCAGTGATATTCAGCAGCACTAGATGTCTCCTCGCCCGCCCCCCGCAGCAGTCAACACACGTGCCCACACTGCAAGGATGAATAGAGCCAGCCACATAGCCAGACGCGCAGACACGGCCATCAATCACCACGAGTCAGTCAGTCGCCTCTGAAAGGCGGCGCACAGTCGTCGGTCGGGCGGTCGAATTGGGTGAGCCCGCGTGCTGCCGGCTGTCCGTCAACACAACTGACACACATGATACCACATGCAGGCCCTCACTGACTGACTGACTGACTGACTGTTGGCCTCTTCTCCTCCGGACACACACACACACTGAAAAAGAATCAGCAGGGGGCAGGCAAATCGAGGAGCGAATAAGGCCGTCCGTCTACACACCCACCAAATGCCATCACAGCCATGCACACATGCACACAGACAGACAGACACAGATAGCGTTACGGTAAGTACGGTCCAGCAAGATGTAAGATGCTCGATGTGCGGGCGTGTGAGAGGGGGGGGAGGGGGGTCATGTCAATAGACACTCAGAAGGAGAATCAGTCAGTCAGTCAGTCGGCAGGCATCTCCCGAGGCTCGCCTTCTCCCCGTTTCTCAACAACACATAAACAGCTAGCTAGTGACCAAGGGAGGGAGGGCGAGAGGCATGCAAGGTGGCAAGTGCAAGATGGTGCTCCACAGCCGACTTGCCAGCCAATCATGGAAAAATCGTCATGTATTACTGTTCACCGTTTCCCCTGTGTTCTGTCTGTGCCGTACGCGTTAGTGTGGATCTCTTCCTCAGGAGGCGCCTTTCTCACCCACCCACACCTCCACCATCGACTACCCTGACCGTGACGCAGGATCGTCGAACGTGACGGTGCTGGCGGGGCAGGACAGTGTCTCCCACTGGTGGCGAGATCCACAAGAGATGCACATCGAGGTCCCTCGTTCCGTGTAAATCGACCTCGCAGCTCGCTCTCTCTCTCTCTCTGTTGGTTCTCTCCAAAAACATCCCCACGCCCACATTGACCAGCCAGACAGGACCAGATGAGGGTCGGGACAGACACACTGCCATTGGAATGCGTCTGTCCCCTCATCGGCCTCCTATTCCGTCTGGCTTGCCCCCATCATACGCACCACACACGCAAAGCCAAAAACTCGTCACCTCAGGAAAGGATAGAATAGCAAGGAGGGAGGAAGGCCGGTAGGTCACTCGCCCATTCATTTCTTACGCTTTTGACATATAGATCGATCAACTTGTACACTGCCTGCCTGCCTCCCTGCCTGCCTGCCTGCCTGTCGTTCACTGATTGGTCCCTTAAGGTACACCATCCATGCATCCATCCATCGATCCATCCATCCACCCAAGTGCCCACATACTTGACGTACATGTGTTTGTCTCTCTCTGTCTGTCTGTCTTGCTGCGAGTGAGCCAGCCAGTCTTATTGATTCGTTCCTCTCTTGGTTGATGAGATGAGGCGACGCGAGGCGAGGCGGTACTCGCTCGCTCGCCTTCCATGCAGACAGACAGACACGCACCCCATCCATCGGCAGGCCAAAACTTGTGTTCATTTATTCGACGCTCATGGCTGGCTCACACCATAGACACATGTCTTCATCCATGACTCCCACGTCCACATCCACACCACACAAACCAGTCAGTCGATCAGTCAGTCAGTCAGTCGGTCAGGCAGGCAGGGTATGCAAAAACGAAACGAGGTGACAGACAGTCGATGCATGCAGACAGGGTTTCGGAAAAATGGTCCGTCCATGGTGTGACGTGTCTGCGTGCACAGGAGTGCAGCCGAGTGAGGTGAGTGATGTGGCGTGAATGGATGGCATGGCGTACGCACATCACGTTCACACGTTCACATTCACGAAGAGCGATTGCGGGCAGCCATTACAGCTGTTACTCCTAGTACTCCTTGTCTGTCTGTCCGTCAGTGACTGTCCGTCAGTCCCTGTCTGTCAGGCAGAGAAAGAGAGAGAGAGAGAGGGGAACAGGCAGGCAGGAGTGAGTGCGCGACAGGTGAAGGAAGGATAAGGACCCGCCGCGAATTAACCAAGTCAGTAGTAAGTGGACAAACAGCCCCCTCCCTCCCCGTTCCGCCCCTCCTACCCTCTCTAAAACACCCCCCCGCCCCCCCCACATACACACACACATTGGATGCACACACAGCGCAGAAGGGTGTGAACTTCAATCTGAAGTTCGTTCATGGCACGCAGGCACCCACCCTTGTGCTTACACACAACACACCACTGGCTGGCTCCATGCATCACGGCAGGCAGCCAGGCAGCCAGTCAGTCAGGCATGGAGCATGCAGGCGCCCTTTGGGCTAGACGGGAACCACTCTCTCTCACGCACACCAACACGCACACGCACGATCCGGCCCTCCTCTCTCTCTGCCCTCACTCCCCTGCCCTCTTCCCCTCCCTCCCCTCTCCCTGTACACGGACGGACGGGCAAATCCAGCGCGCACACACACGCGCGTGCATTGGATTGCAAGCGAGGGCGGCCAAGGGCCACCCCCACCTCTTGCACTGCAGCCGGCATGTCATGTCCCTTCGTGTGCCTCCGCCCCGCCCGACACACCGGTGCGCGCAAAAACAGGCACGCACCGCACCGCACCAACGACCCTTCTTCTGAATATGTGTCTGTCTCGTCTCTCGCTCATCCATCCATCCATCCAGTCATTCAGTCAGTCCGTCACGTCACGAAGAAACTGCTGGCGAGGTGAGGGAAACAGGAGGGGAGAGGGGGGAGCCAATCCAATGGAGAGAGAGATAAAAAGAAGGAAGCTAGGCTAAGAACTGCACTGATGGATATATGCGATACGGAGATGGATGGGTAGCATAGCAAGGCAAAGCAAGTGGGTAGGATACACACACAGGCACCGCACATGGTACACACACAGACAGACAGACACATACGTCACACACGGCACGCACGAGTAAGCAAGCAAGCAAGCAAGGCAATCATGTCATGTCAACACAAAACTTCGTTCGTAACAACTGCGACATTACATTCCCTCCTCCCCTTGTCCCTCCATCCCTCCCCTCCCCGCCCCACCATCCATAGGATCAATCATCAAGCGGCCTGGCAGCACGATGTCTGCTGCACGGGCAGGATGCGCATGTGCCGACTACTCTGCACACACACAACACAAGGCGATGGCCAGTGTGTGTGTGGTTGTGTGTGTGTGTGTGTGTGTCTGAGCTGTGTGTCTGGTATGGTAACCCACCCACCCTGTCGACGGTGCAGACGTCTGTGAGTGGTGGGCTGCTGATGAGGTCGATCAGCTTGGTGCAGTGGAACACCGTCTGACACAGCTCACGGTTGAACCTAGTAACACACACACAAACACATAGCAACACCGCCCGCCACCACAAGTGCGTCCACATTCCATTCATTCCGCCTTGTGTGCGCTCGCCCGCCCGCCCGGTCGGTGGGTCGCTCACTTGGCTTTGATTTTCCTCTTGAGAGTGGAGAGGTTGAAGCCGTTGGGGTAGAGCACCAGCAGAGTGGCGAGGTAGCGCTTCAGCTCCTCCAGATCGGTGATGCAGTCCTTGCCGGCACGCTTCTGATCAGGGATACCCTGCCATGGCCACACACACAACAAACACAAGCCACAAACCGTCTCTCTCTCTCTCTCTCCCTCTGTGTGTGTGTGTGTGTGTGTGTGCGAGTGTGTGTGTACCAGGTTGGCGTAGCAGACGTTGGAACATGAGGCGACAGGTTTGAGGACGTTGTCCTCGTATGCCAGCAGCCGCCGCCTCGAGATCGCCAGCTGCACCAGGTGGCAATACTCACCCAAACTCATACCCCTGACAGACACGAACAAACAGACAGACCAAACACCACATCCAAACCAACACACATGCAGTGAGATCAGATTATTGTGGCCCTCTTGTGTGTCTGTCTGTCGTTACTTGAAGAAGGGCAGCTCCATCTTGCGCAAACTCTGAGCCATCCCATACCTGACAACACAGCACAGCCACCCACACCAACACAGAGAGAAGAGCAGCCCTCACCATCAGTCCTTCCGCTAGAGGGCTCTCGTGTGGTGTGCATTGTGAGAGCTGTGTGATCTCACCGTCCGCCGACGAAGGAGTAGGCGACGGAGTCTCCACTGGTGAGTCGCTCTCGCAGCCACTGGGCGAATTCGGTCCACATGGCCTCGGCGTACTCGTCCTCCTCACTGTTCGGATCAACCCATCCCCGGAACCAAACGGGGGTCTCCTTCAGCAACACAGCCTGACCACACACACACACGGATGGATGGATGGATGAACCTTCTGTGTGTGTGAGAGAGTGTCCCCCGGGCCTCACCTCTTCGTCCTGTCCTGCGGGTGTGAGTACGACATAGATGTCGGGGAACATGCGGTAGACGGTCATGAACTGGGCCTTGACGAAGGCCGAGGCGCTGAGCTCGTGCAGCCGGCCCTTCAGATTGAAGTACACCGGCACGATCCGATCTCGGTACAGCGACACTATCGCCTCGTGCAGTGTCGACAGGTCGTCGTTCCGCAGCTGGAACACAGGCACCACCACCGACGGGGACCCGCTCTCACGGCTGCTGGTGCTCCCGGACGCCCCGCTATGAGTCGAGCCGCCCCTGTTGGCCGACCCATTGGGACTCGAGAACCGCCCTCGGCTCTTCCTCGGTGACACTGGGGGAGGGGGAGGCTGGGGGTACACGCCGCCATACGACAGGTGCCTCACCAGAGGGGGTGCAGGGGGGGCGGGGGGCACCAGCTGCCGCTGCGTGGTCGCATCGTGGTATGACGGCCTCAGCGTGTCGGGCGAGCACATGGTCATAGTCCTCGGACGATGGACGTGGTGATGGGACTCGGAATAGGCCCGAACGAGAGGCGGTGATGGCTCGGGGAGGATGCCACACTCGTGAGGCCTGCCATCAGGGCAAATCTCACTGGGGTGAGGCGGAGGGGGTGGCGGCTGCGACGGTGGACAGGGCGGCTGGTTGTTGGACGCATAGACTCGCACGGACAGCGAGGGAGCCATCACGGCAGCCGGGGGAGATGGGGAAGGATGCGGCATCGAATTCGATTCGTCGTTGGACAACTACACCTTTGTCAAGTCGACTCCTCAGCGCGTCAGGCATGCCCACGGCTCCGCCTCCACGTACCGCGGGTACTTCCGTGGATAGGCACCGAAATAGCCGATCGACGCAAAGGCCATCAAGACCATAGTGGACGGCACAGGATGAGGGCAGGCATCTTGAGAACAGTCTAGTACAGCGAAGACAGCCAAAAGAGGACAGATCTGCAGGCGATGATCTCGCCTAAGTGGGGTAGAGCAGGGATTGCGTTAAACACGAGACTGAGGGGCTAAGCTTGCAGACGCCGATGAGTTGAGGCGATGAAGACGTTATTGCCGGGCACACTCATCGGCTTCCTTCTTGTTTTCTCCGCCCTTCAAAGCCGAAGAATCTCCCCATCAGCTGTTGCGGCTGCAGATGAGCACCAGGCGCTTCATGCTGCGGCCGACTCCCGTCCACGATCATCGCCCGACAGCTCTTCGCATCTCCCACCTGACGGTGCACCATCCCGGCAGGCAGCTCCACCCGGGCCGCATAGATCGGACCAGAGCAAAAGCTGGTGGTCGCTTGTGAGGGCGCTGCTCGGCATGATGGGCAAGAGGACACACCAGAGCGACGTCAGCGATGCATCGGACCATGAAGGCGATCCCGATGGCACGGCTGAGAGCGGCGTGAGTGACGAGAATGGTTCGGAGGACTTGCCAATCTCGCCGAAGCCTGGTTTCTGGGCATCGTTTGAGCGGCCTGCGACTCCCGTCGGCTCCCTCCCGCCACCCCTTTCGTCCCCCTCTGCGTCGCCACCTGCTGCCGCAGCATCAACCAAGGCCCCAAGTGACCATGATGTTGCTGCAGCGAAAAGTCCCTGTCCCTCAAGGAATCCGTTTGCGAGGACAGCAGATGGCAAGTCACGTTTGGCACTGGTTGCGTCGCCACAAGATGCCAGCCAGGGACGAGCAGATCTGGATGAGCACGATGGCGATGATGTGGCGGAGTGGGGGAGGAGCAGAAAACAGGTGAGGGAGCTCACCAAGCCATTGATGTAGACACGCCTGTGTGCCTACCAGGCCAGAAACACAAGTGGATATGTCGAATCCTGTGTGGTTGTGTTGTGCGTTCCTCAGGGTTTTCGCCTCACAGCGGCCCACTCCCGTCCCCCTTACCCATCCTCACCCAACCCCTATTTTGCAACCGCTTCAGCCCCCTCACGCAAGCCCGCCGACCGCCCTGTTGCCTACACCACCATTCCGCCTCTTATCGAGCCGCCAAATCAGCCGGCAGCAAGACCAGCCAAGTGGACGCCTCATGGCAAGACAGACAAGGCGGCTCTGATCCGGAGGGAGCCGCGATTAACGTTTCGCGGTTTCTGTCACGGCTTGGTGATGGAGGCGGTCAGGCTCTGTCGAGGCAGCAGAGAAAAAATGGGGCCGCCGGCGCCGGTTGCAGAGAAGACCCTGCGTGGCAAGCAGGTCGATGACGGCCAAGCGGAGGTAGAAAGCGGTTTCCTCTCGCCAACGCCATCCGCTCCCCGCCCTGCCAGCGGGGGACAGCCGCCACCGCCCACATGCAGCTCTCTCGAGTGGCTGAAGGTCGCCTCCACGCCACAGTGCGTCGACGCTGATCGAGAGGCAGAGGAGAGGCGAGCTGAGGCTGAGGAGCCGGCCTGTCCCGTTGAGACAGCATGGGCAGTCAACATGGGTCTCTGGCAGACGAGCAAGGACGGCCTGTGGGTCGGCCACGGCTGTCCAGCACACAGGCCAAGACACCCGCCGCCCCCTGTCCCACCCCCCTACAACGCCACCTACTGGAGCAGGGCGAAACGGTGTGCGAAACGGCGATTGGTGGACGTGGTGACCAAGTGCCAGTGGCCCGAGAGCCGCGCCAACGGCAGCATTCTTAGGGAGATGGCCTCGTGGCTGCCGGCCTTCGTGCAGGGGCTGCTGGGCACTGAGGATGAGCCTCAGAACAAGACAGACCTTCTCACCGTGAGGAGCGAGCTGGTCTCCTCGCCGCGGGCCGTCCATCCTTCGGCCATCGACTGCTCCGTGCGGCTGCCAGAGGTGCACCAGAGCCAGTGCAACGGCACAGCATCGGTGTCTGACGGACTGTTGGCCGAGAACGACACGGGCAAGGACGATGGCGGCCAGTTCTGCCCCAACGCCATGTGTCGGCGGCTGTGGGCGAAAGGGGTGGAGGTGCCCGGGCGACCGATGCGGTTCATCGGGGGAATGGCCTACCCGCGGAGCTACGAGTCTCGCTTCGACTTCGCGTCGCAGGACGCTGGGGCGAGAATAGTGGACTTCTCCCCGCACATCAAGAACGTCAGATCCGTCCTGGTGAGTGATTGGGTAGGGTAAGGTGGTGTCTTGTAAATCTCTCTCTCTCTCTCTCTGTGGGTATCGTGGTGTGTCAGTCGCCGGATGACGACCGCTACCTGTTGGTGCCTTGCAAGGCTCCCACGTGGTTTGTCATCGCTCTGACGGATGACATCAACCTCGAGCAGCTGGCCCTCATCTCCCTCGAGTACTACGCCTCGGGCTTCAGGTGACTGCCACCCACACATACACATACACACCATCTTTGGCGCACAGAGATGGACTGACTTGGATTGTTCCAATGGTGTGTGCCCGACAGGCACCTTCAGATCTTGGGCAGCTCCAACTATCCGACGACCGATTGGCGGATGTTGGGAGAGATCGAGACGACGCCCTTCCTGAACAAGGAGCTGTTCGACCTCAAGCCATACTGCAGCCACATCAAAGACAAGGGCTGCTGGGTCAGGTCAGCCAATGAGCGACGCAGGCAGACTGACTGACTGATCGTCGATCAGTCAGTAGTGTGTCTGTGTCTGTGTGTGCGTCAGGTATCTCAAGGTGCGTGTGCTGTCGCACCACCGTGACGAGCACAACTACTACTGCGCCCTCACACGCATCCAAATATTCGGAACCACAGTCTTCAGCAGGTAGGTATTTAGGCACCAAGAGCAAACCACCGCCAACAGAGCACAGCACGTCCAGTCCATCAATCTCTGTTCTACCTCACCGCCGTGGTTCAGCCTTCAATCGGAGCTGTCTGACATCGAGAGCAAGGAGGACACCGCTGACAGCCCCGACGCGCAGCCGACGGACGCCCCCGCCCCGCCGCACATCGAGGCCGCCCTCACCGAGCTCGAGACCACAGCCGCATCCCTTCTCAGAAAGGCTGACCAGAAAGTGACCACACTGGCACAGTGACCGAGCCGACACGCACACGATCTGTTTGTTGTCTTGTTGTCTGCCAGGTGTCGCAGCTATCTGGATCTAAGTCTCCTGTCAGCCACCACGCATCAGCCCCCGCCAACCGCTCTGACGCGGCCACCCCCCGAGGCGGCCCGGTGAAAGCACCCAAGCCACGGGACACCCCACCACCTCCTGAGAGCAAGAAGGCCACAGACACCGAGGATGAGGGAAGGGACCAGTCCCAGACAGCGGGATCTCCCAGCTTGGCGGACCTGCTGTCGTCCCTCAACCTCGAGCAGCACGAGCACTGGGACTACCGCCCTCCCCTCTCTGCCCCGCCATCCATATCTCCCTCCCCGCCCATCCACCACCAGGCGCGTGTGCCGGTGCCGATGCACGACATGCTGCAGCGCCACTCGTACCTGATGGAGACCACACTCAAGAAATACGGCACACTCAGCGACGACTTCATGGACTGGCTCGCCGGCAGGTGGGCGTCGGGGCCGGGTGCCGCCCCCGGACACCCGCCCCCGCCGACAGTCGACCCCGCGTTGGCTAACATGTCCCTCGCACCGGCGACGGCCACACCCACAGCCCCACAGCCGGCAGATGGGCTGGCGCAGCTGTTTGGGCTGCTGGGAGGCCATCAGGCGGTGCTCTATCCCAGCGCTCTCAGCCAGCACCATCCCCACCCGTCATGGGCGGTGAATGGGGGTGCTGCCACCGGGTCAGCGGGGGAGAACAGGGGGGGCGGCTCGGCGGCTGCGGATGGCGGGGGCTCTGCTGGCGGACAGGGACAGGCCAACACACACCATCCACATCCACATGCCCATCCGCATGTACCTCCCAAGGACACGCACAAGACAACTGGTAGGTAGCCCGACCCTGCAAGCAAGGACACGACACATACGTGTGTGTGAAGGACCTCTGGTCTGTGGTGTGTTCAGCTGCGAGTGACCGCGGCCATGTGTTGCTGACGCTGGTCGACCGCATGAAGAGTGTGGAGATACAGACACACACCGTCCGCAACAGGACCTTCGAGCTACTGGGCGCCCTTCAGCACCACGAGGCCCACCTGGCCTACCTCGGGGGCGTCTCCCTCTTCACCCAACACGCCGTCGACTTCCAGTTCTCACGGCTCCTCGAGATCGAGACGCGCATCGAGGAGCTCGCCAGAGAAGTGGCCTTCCAGCAGTACGGCCACCGCCCAATCACGTGGCCGCTGCACAAGAACCCCTTCATGCCAAGGGGCGACCCACAGCTGCCTTCCGCCGGCAAGACCACGCCATGGTACGGCTTTCATCCTTTCGCTTCGTTCAACGCCACGGGGGCCAAGCCATCGCGGGACCAGCCGGGGGCGGGCCAGGGGGACAAGAGGGGAGACGGATTCCGATATGGCGACCGGACGCCTTTTGACGATTTGCAGGCATTGCTGGAGAGTGTGAGGCGGTTTGCGGCGGCGGTTGGGAGTCTGTGGCCAATGAAGTGGGGAGGGTGGCAGGCTGGGCGGCCGATTGATGGTGCTGGTGCTGGCAGCGGTCCTCCTCCGACCGTGGTCCGGTCGCCCCCGATCGGCTGGGACCGCTTCCTCATTTATGTGGTGCTCATGCTGCAGCTTGTACAGCTATTCCGGTAGGTTACGCGCACGAGGCAAGAGGCAGCCCCCCTGCATGGCCGTGGATGTCACCCTCCCCCCCATGTGTCGCATTGCATGCAGGTCATCCGAGCTCCGTCTACCCCTGATGCGCCGCACCTCCCAAACTGGCCGTCTGCAGCGCTCCCAGTCGCTGCCATCCAGGCTGAAGCTCACCATCACCACACCGTCACGACTGCTGCCGACCCAACTACCGTCACGGTGGCCAAGCTGGGAGCGGCTCGGCAAGTCGGCACTGCTGTCCATCGTCGAGTTCTTCATGGCCAGGCTCGAGCAGCTCAGACGGCCCCTGCAGAGGGGTGTTGACGGCGAGCACTGGCGACAGGGCAGAGCGGTGTCACGAGAGGAAATGGGTGAGGGGAGAGGCGACGTGCAGATGACCGATTCCCGCGTCGCTCGCGCTTCCTACCGACAGCGCACCGTCGGCCACCCTGACCAGCTGAAAAGCACCAGGCTAGATCCGCGGACAACGGGACCGCCTGACGTGCGAGATGCAGCCATCGCGCGGTGGACGGGCGGGAGGCGCCATCTGGGCGGCGGCGCACACCGGCATGTGCGCAGGAGGAGAGATGAGGGCTCGGGTGCCGTGAGGGGCAAGGGGGAGAGTGAGGGCAGCCCTCCGCCATTCATCACGCTGGCCAACCTCAGCCAGGACAAGACCTCGGGGCTGCCGCCAATGCCGCCAAAACGGGCGAGAAGACGCCCAACAGCGGTCAGCAAGCGACCGAATGAATAGCCACGACGACACATACACACACATCACATGCTGTCTTGTTTGTGTGATGGGATGTCCTGGCTCAGGACCCCTCTAGCCACGCCAATGGCGGCCACCCCGACACCCGGTCTCTGCGCACAGTCAGCACGCCCCCCGGCACCGATGACGACGAGATGGATGGCGATGAGGATTCCTTTGCCGGCGGCGATAGGTCGCCCACACACTCCGCCTCTCGCAGCCAGGTCAGCGGGCTGGAGGCGGTGCAGACCGATGAGGACGACATGCACCCCCGGTCGAGCAAGAAGATGCGGGTGGTCCCGAGTATTGATGTGGACGACTCCCCGGCCCATGTGCTGCATCGCGACGGCTCGCGAGAGATGCTCACCGTGGTGTCGGCCACCAGCCGGGCGAGCCAGCCGTCGTACTTCTCCGCCTCGGGGGAGGAAAGCCAGACGGACAGCAGGACGCCACGGCATTCAATTAGGCGACACCATCACCGCACTATGTCGGGCCGCCACCCCCACGCCCATCCCCAGCCGGCGCCTCCGTCTTCGCCCCCGTTGCTGCCCTTCTCCCCTTCCCCCTCGTCGGTCCCATCATCGCACTATGATGACCGCCACACCCTCGCCAGCCACTTCGGTCAGCTGAGCAGCAATGCCGACGTCATGTCGGCCGTGTCGGTGCCACTTTCTTCCGAGGAGGGCTCGCCGACTGTGGTAAGCGAGCTGAGTGCGCGGAGGCCTCAGCAGCTGCGGCTGCAGACGCCGCCAAGGGAGATTGAGGGCGGCACACGAGAGACGGAAGAGGTGCGTGTGGATAATCGACACAACACATGGGTGGCCCGTGTGTATGTGTGTGTCCCATGTGTGTGCCATGTGTGTTGGATGCAGGATTCGTTTCACTGGTCGTTGGATAGCCCTCCCCCGCAGCCCGCCAGCACCACCATCGACGCTGACCAGGTGCAGCCGGCCATAGGGGCACCAGTGGTGCCGACAGATGGGCTGCCGGCGGTGCCGAGGCCACAGGCCTCACAGGCCTCACAGGAGGAGGAGGAGCAGCCGACAGACAGCGAGCCGTGATGTGATGACAGACAGGGAAGAGCAGCAGACAGCTGAGAGACCTGTGAGTGAGTGTGTGTGTTATGTCGGTAATGAAATGACTGTGTACAGCAGAGGAGAGGAGAGGAGACTGTGTGTGGCTCGGTGTGACTGATAGACAGTATCCATCAATCAGTGTCGTCGTCTCGTCTTTGTATGTAGGAGGGAGAGAGGGGCGGCAGAGAGGGCAGAGAGGTGTGCGTCTGTCTGTCTGTCTTGGTGTGTGTGTGTGAGGATACCGATGTCATGACCGACCGACCTGCCTGGTGAATGGATGAATGAATGCCCGTGGTCTGGTCGAATGCATCTCGCATCTGTTTGCCAATGGTTTGACTTCTCGAGATAGGATGGTATGGATTCAAGTCAATCAGTGAGATCTCGAAAGAGAAGGAGTCGTTTCTGCCGAGGTTTGCGAATTCAAGAGGGAGAATGGGCAACACGTGGGTGCATTCATAACAATGACATGGATGCGTATCTATGGCACTCGAGTAGTGTCCTCGGCTGTCCCCCAACTAGTGTTGTCTCACTCAGTGGGCGCGCAGATGGCGAGCCACCTGGTTGCCCCACTGTTCCTCTCGTAAGGCGGCAGCCGGGCATTCGGTCGGGCTGCTCTCTCGCCTCTCTGTCTGTACACTTAGCGGCTATTCACAGTGGCAACTCACTATCTCCCCCCTCTCCTCCTCATCAGCGTCACTGTCGTCCCACGGCCATATCAGCATCGTGACGGTCAGCTGGTGCTCACGAGGCCGGGCTGCCAGGTCCTCGATTGATGAGCCCTGACCATTGTAGTCATCGAAGCGCTTGTAGGCGATCGGGAAGGGCACCTCCATCCCGTACTCGGCCATGCCGTCGCGCACACGGCCCTGGCGGAACAGCAAGTCGAGCTCGTTCTCGACTCGGTCAGCGTCGCTAGGGGCGGTGAAGATGTCGGCCCGCTCGTTCAGCTTGAAGGTGGTGGCGTGTTTGGGCCGCACCTCGTGGATGAGGCGGAAGAGGTCCCGCAGCCGCTCGGGGACGCTCTCGGCTCTCGCGTTGTAGATGTCCTGGGCGCTGGCCACCATGTACATGTCGATGGGCTGGATCTCGATGCTGAGCTCTTCCACAGTAGGGTACTGTCGGGCGGTGTGCGGTGAGGGGAAGGCGACCGGAGCGGCCGCCTTGGTGCGGGGCCGGTTGAAGAAGAGCGGCTCGTTGTGCACTATCTCCAACTTCTGATCGACGCACACAATGCGAAATGGATGGATCAGGCTCGATGTCTTGATGCAAGGATGGCACCACCATAAGTACCTTGAGCGGTTTGGCGACGCCCTGCTGGATGTATGTGAGCGCCTCTGAGGCCAGGATGCCGCTGACCGTCCCGAAGCGCACGTGTGTGAGTGCGGGGAGGGATGAGAGGAGGCGGGAGAGTCGGTTGGGCGTGGTGGGCGGCATCAGGTACTCCGGGTCGCACGTTGGCACATAGCGCTTGTTGCCGTTGTCCGTCAGGTACAGCTCCGTCACATTACTGAATTGGCACATCCACAGAGATTAAGCGAAGCGTCTTTATTACTCTCTCTCTCTCTCTCTCTCTCACACCACAGTGACTTGAGCGTGGTCTCCTCGATCAGCCAGTGGGGGATGCTGTTGAAGGACTCGGCAGCGACATCGGGGCCGCGAATGCCGAGCTCGATATCCAGGCGGCGCGCGCTATCGAGGCGGATGCCGCTGAAGTGCGGGCTGGTGGGATCGCCGGACCGGCTATCGCACTCATCCAATGACACACGGTCGCCCCCCACCGCATGGCGCTTGATGGTCTCCACCACGGCGAGGGTCTCGGCGGTCGGCGGGCCCTCGGTGGTCTCACCATGGCAGTCTATGGATGTCGTCCCTCCCTCTCTCACCACCTCCCACCCCATCTTCTCCGCCTCGCGAATCGTTTCCAGTGAGTCATTGGACCAGACAGGTCGATGGTCCAGGTCATGGACAATGCGAAGGAAGCAGTTGACCTTGAGGTGGCGCTTGGTGGCGGCTCCTGCTTGGGAGGGCGAGGGGAAGGGGGAGGGGGAGGGTGCCGCACTTGCGCTGCTGGACGAGCCAGCCCCCGCACCGCCGCCGCTGCCTGGCGCGAGCTGCCGCAGCAATGTCAGCTCGCTGGTTCTCTCACTTGCCGTGCTGCCCCACAGCTTGAGGTGGCCGACGTGGCGCAGGTTCTTGAGCGATGAGAGGGCAGCGGTGGTGAGGGGCATGACGGAGTTGCGGCCGTAGACACGTGTACAGCAGCAGAGCAGTGGGAAGATGTCCAGGTGAGTGAGGGATGGGGACGAGCCGAGGATGAACGCCAAACTGCCATCGAACGCGGCCCGCATGGATGCCTGCATGGATGCCCACTTGCCGGGGATGTACATTCCGACGAGGTGTGATGTCTCCCTCTCAGAGAGGACCTTGCCAGTGAGCCGGTCGAGTGCCGGGCAGACGAGCTTCCGCTGCTGGAACAGGTGCAGTCCGTCGAGGCTGTCCACCTCAACCGACGTCACCGAGGGAAACACCGCATCGGGCCCCTTGACTTGCGCCACCGGCAGGTCACTCCCCTCTTCATCGGCATCATCATCCCCGTCTCGCTGCTGCTTGGCCTGTGTCGTTTGGACGGCCTTGAGCGTGTCGGTGTGGCTGACCAGCTGCAGCGACACAAAGGCGAAGAGCCGCGCCCGGCCGATCTCCTTGACCTCCTCCTCTCTGGGCAGCAGGATGACGGCGTGCTGCTGCTGCTCGAACGTCACCAGGCTGCCGCCCGGTCCCTTGCAGCTGAGGCCGTGGTTGGGGCGGTGCCAGTTGATGACGCGGATCAGCGAGTAGATGGCCCAGTAGAAGGCCCGGCAGACACAGCTCGTCGCCAGGCGCTCCTTGACGGACTGATATGATGACACATTGAGCCAGATGAGCCCATCGAGAAGGCTCGTGAGGCTATTCGACGCGATGCGGTTGGACGGGTCGTCACTCTGGGACGAAGCGGCTGTGCGCGGCGCTTTGGCTGGCGGGCCGTCCATCGCTCACCACACCACACACCAGAGATCAGCTCAGCTACACGCTACAGCTTCCTGTAGGTCCACACACACGGAAGCACAGGAAGATGCCATGCCGTCTGGCATGCTGTTGCGCCCGACCCGCTTACAGTTCGTGCGATGAATGTATGGCTGCCGGCACGTCTTCTTGGAAGCCCGTCGGATGGCAGGCAGCCGATGGGTTGCTCGGACTTGAGGGTGCGCTACAACAGCCAAGACCTCACCGAACGCTCATACAACCGTCCTCCTCCCCGCCTCCTTTTCCCTTGACTTTTGCGAGCTTGAAGCCGAAAAAAAAGGCAGAGGGAATGGCGGAGGCCCCTGAGGACAGCCGTCAGGGGTGGGCGCTGCTCGTGGCGATATCAGAATGCGTCAAGTAAGAAAGATCACTCATTCATCTCGCCAGACGACCCGACGCACAAACCGGCCGCTCTCTTTCTGCAGATCCAAAGACGTCGACAGGCTCGAGCAGCTGCTGGATGACAACAGAGAGGTACCCAACCCGACAAACGCGCCAAGAGCACAAAACAAAGTCGGTGGATGGTGGTTGTTTTGTGTTGGCAGCTCATCGAGCGGCTGGAGGCCTCCCTGAGGACCGACAACGACGGAAGGTTAGCAAGCATGCGGCTCTCGGCTGGTTACTTCCTCATGTGCGTTGCTGTGTGTTTGCCGCCTCTGTGTAGCCGCCAGGAGGAGACGAACGCGGAGGACACGAATGAAGACCCACCTTCGGAGGAGGAGCCACCACCATCACCATCGCCACCACCACCAGTGCAACCTGCCGTCGACACGTCCACCGAACCATCCGAGAGCGGCAGCAATGAAGAGCAGCAGCAGCAGCAGCAGCAGCAGCAGCAGAACCAGGACCACAAGCAGCAACAGGACCACCAGGAGGAACACCAGAAGAAGCCCTCGCCGATGCTGCTGTGTCTGTCTGGGGCAAGCCACGCTATTCTCTATGTCAGCATGCTGCTCGAGTGCCTCGGCAAGGCGCTGATCTCAGCCATGCACCTCTACCCCATTTGGTGTGTGGCGGTCATCCTGTCGGTCGCCCTGCTGGTGCACTCGCCCGGCCTGTCCTACGGCGACTTCGTCATGGACGACACGGTGGCCGTCGTCAAGAACAGCGACGTGACGGGGGCGGCATTCAGCTGGCGGCAGCTGATGCGCCACGACTTCTGGGGCAGCGACATGTTCACCGAGGGCGTCTGGACGCACAAGTCCTTCAGGCCCTTCACCACACTCTCATACCGATTCAACTACCTCCTGAGCGGCATCGACACGACGGCATTCCACGCCACCAACGTGCTGCTGCACCTGCCCGTCGTCCTGCTGGTGGCCGTGGCGTGCTACTCGGTGCTGGGGCTCGGCAGAGTGCAGTCGCTGATTGCGGCCGGTTTGTTTGCCGTCCACCCCGTCCACACGGAGAACGTCTTCTACCTCGTTGGCAGGGCCGACATACTCGCGGCGATCCCATTCGTCATGGCCATCATCGACTACGCGGCGGCCTTCTCGCCCTTCTTTCGGCCTGTGGGCGACCTGCTGGCCGGGCAGATGCAGCCACTGGCGGTCCTCTGTGACCTGCTCATGGATGGCAAGAGGAGAAGGAAGCCGTCGAAAGGGGAGGAGGGGGATGGCACTGGGCCTGGTGAAGCTGTGGCGTGGTCAGAAGAGGCCCGGGGTGGTCATCATGCGAGAGGTTCAGAGGGAGGAGGATGGAGCGATGCGAGCCTGCGGGATGGGGCTGTTGCCATGCTTCGACTGGTGATCTGGGCAACGCTGGCGGGGCTCTGCAAGGTCAGATGGACGCATCAATACAATACACACACAACCAGGGAGGAAGTAAAGCCATCTCTCTCTCTCTCCCTCTCTTCTTTTCGCAGGAGATCGGCTTCACCGTGTACGGCATCATCTTCCTGCTGGAGGCCCTCACCCTACACCACCACATCATGCAGATCGTCCACACACCCACAGCACCCCCAGCAGCAGCAGCGACCAAGACACACTGCCTCAAGAGCGCCCTCCGTCTGCTCATCGTGGCCACACTGACGGCCTTCACGTTCGTGGCGCGGCACCGATACACGGGCGGGACGACTCTGAAGATGTCCCCACAAGACAACCCCATCAGCTTCGAGCCCCTCTTCAAGACACGCGCCCTCAGCTTCGCCTACATCCACTCGGTCTACGGGCGGCTGCTCGTCTGGCCGTTCTTCCTCTGCTATGACTACTCCAAGGAAGCCATCCCCATGGTGCGATCTTTCGGTGACATGCGGTTGCTGGCGCCTCTGGCCTGCTACCTCTCCCTCGCGAGCGCCTGTGTGTGGGGCCTGGTGACGTTGCTGACCACCCGACGGGAGAGGCATGGCGAGGGCCGTGCCGTGGCGATGGGTCTGGCGCTGCTGGTGGTGCCCTTTCTGCCGGCGAGCAATGTGCTGTTCCACGTGGGGACTGTGGTTGGCGAGCGGCTGCTGTACCTGCCGTCCATCGGCTTCTGCGTCATGGTGCCGTGTGTCGTGGCCACTATCGTGAAGAGATCTGAGTCGATGCGCAGCAGCGGCAATGGCAATGGCAGCAAGGGAGAGAGGGGAGGTCACCGGCTGGCGTGTCTGATGGTGCTCGTGTGTGGCGTGACGGTCGCGGTGTGGGGATACCGCTCATACCTGAGAGTGAGAAGAAACGAGGGCAGACATGTGTCTGTGTATGTGTGTGTGTGTGTGTGTCATCAAGTGCGTGTGTGGGTTTGTCTGTCACTCACTCACTCATTCACTCATGTGTGGCTGTCTGTCAGGCTCTGACATGGGAGAGTGGCGCCCGTCTCAACATAGTGGATGGGCTGCGGCAGCTCAGGTCCGCCAAGACACAGTTCAACCTCGGCATCACTTACATGATGGCCCAACAATTCGACATGGTTGGTACCTACCACCTGCACACACACACACATCTCTGCGATTTATCATCTTCTCTGTGTGTCTGGATTTGGTCAGGCTAGGGAAGCGTTGCAGCGGTCCATCTCTGCTGATCCCGAGAGCGTGCTGCCCTACTGGCGCCTCGGCCAGATGTGCATCTTCCAGGGCAACTTCTCAGACGCTGAGGTCGGCTGCGGACCGGACAGACAGACACCAACACAAACCGACACGCAGGCAGACTGAGTGAGTGCGTCCACATCCATCTGAGTGCTGTGTGTCAGAATTGGCTGGGCGAGGCGCGTAGCAAGTACGGCGGTACGTTTGTGGTACGTGACGAGGAGGTCTTCCACGACTATGCGGTGGCGCTGCACCACAACGGCAAGCCCCAAGAGGCCGTAGAGAACCTACAGCTGGCACTGAAACTAAACCCAAAGTGAGCGGGCGACGGAGGGTCTCGGCGTATGCGTGTATGTTGGTCGTGGACAGCTTTGCGAAGGGGCTTAACAACTTGGCGTGCGCCACTGTGCAGAAGGACATTCGGACAGCGCTCGACTATGTCAAAAAGGTAATTAAGTCCGGCAAGGAAGGCAATTACCACACCTACAATCATGAGCCAGCCGAGCAGCCATTTCCTGTACGTACACCTCCCTAACTCATCCACTGGTGTCTGTCTGTCTGTCTGTCTGGTGTGTGTGTGTGTGTGTGTTCAGGCAGTAGAGTCGTCCCCCCATCAGATTCTCTACTGGGCCAACCTCCACCTGCTGGCGCGACACACAGGTGCCACACCACACCACACCTCGACACACACTGAAACTCTTTCTTATTGTTTGTGTGGTCTCTGCCTGTCTGTCTGTCTGTCTGTGTGCAGGTGAGAAGCACTTGGCGGACATGGCGCTCCAGAGTGCCCAGCAGCTAGATCTCGGCTTCACTGCGCAAAGCACATGCGTGTGGCAGTTCGAGCCCGCCGAATGAATGAATGAGACAGAGCCAAGCCCCGTGCGGCGGAGTGCACTGCGCGTAGAGAAGAGCGGAGTAGACAGACTGTAGGAGATATAGATCGGCATTAATGATTTGCACATAGCGTGGAGTGCGAGACACACAGATACACACATGTGAATACATAGACTTAGGCTCTATATATCGTCTGGCTTGCTGAATGACCTACCTGTAAGACACATACACACACACACGGGCTGCCTGCCTATGCTCTCGTCCTTTGCTCATGTACGCCCATCAACACACACCGCCCTGATGTCCTCCTTTTTTTCACCACAACATCCTCAACACAGTAGCTCAACACAAGATACACAAGATAAGCCCACAGCAGCACAAACAGCCTTACAGAAGGCCTAGCGACCCTCTCCGCGAGGGACGGGCCGATAAATGCATCTTGGTCGAACACATCAAAAGTGAAGGGCACGCTGGCGACCTGATAGTTGAGCATGTAGATGACCAGGTGCCACACGTCAATGTCGCTTCTGGACGAAGCCGGGTTGGTAATTGTCAGCCGCATGGCGTACTCGCCCCCAGCAAACTCCACAGACGGGTCGAGGTGAACGATCAGCTTATCGTCGTTGCACTCGGGGGCCTTCGCAGGGTCGGGCCTCAGCACGGTGCGGAAACCTGTGATGCTGAACTGGAGGCTCTCGCAGACGTCTTGGGAGAGCCGAAAGTCCTCAGAACAGCGGATTCGGATGCTGTTGCCAACGCCACTCTCAATTGTCCCCATCTGCCAGGAAAGCTAACAGATGGAGACAAAGAGACATGGGGGGTTTTGCGTTGCATGTCATGTCTCTCCTTTCCTTAAATACTTCGAGTGTGTTTCTCTGGCTGGGGACGTTGCTGGATGCCCGCATTGCGCCGAGGCTGAGGTCGAAGCGGCTCAGCTGCCATCCCTGTATATTCAGGTTGGCGTCGATGACGCTGCCACTCTTGGCCGCCTTGAGTGTGAGGCCCCACAGGTTGGGCGTCGGCTGGATGCTGGGGTTCATCGTCGATAAGGCGAAGATGTACGTCGTGTTGGCCAGTGTCCCTGACGCACGCAAAGACAGACAGACAGAGGTGAGACACAAAGCTCTGATCGACCGGTTTCATTAAGTCAGGCTGGCGTACCATTCCTGGAGTCCATTTCGAGCAGTAGGATCGTCGGGAGCTCTTCATGCGGGAAGCATTCGGTGCCTGTCGGCAGGTTGCCCATGTCGATGTCGGCGCAGCTGAGAAAATATCCCGTTGGGGAGTTGACGTCGATCCTGCCCTGCGGCGGCAGGTCCATGCTCGAGGAAAAGACGAATATCGCCTGGGTCGGCCGCCCCACCGGCGAGCTGCCCGTCACTGTCGCATCGACGGTGGATACCACATAGCCCTCGATGACGGACTTGGCCACGATGACGCCCGCGACGGATATCTCGAGCTGCCACGAGTTGGCGTCCTCTCCTTCGCCGATTGCGATGGCGTTGGTCACCTTCATGGCTGTGGTGTATGTGGTACTGGCCTGAGACACCCCATCCCACCCCACAGAGCGTGACGACACAATTATTAACAAGACCTGACCCATCTGCCTATGTCTGTCTATTTGACTACTTGCAGAGCGGTGAGGGGCGTCGTAAGGGTGGCTATGTCTGCTGCGCCGAGGCATTCCCCAAACACACCCGCCAGCTCAGAGTCGGCCAGGCATTGCGTGTCGGCCACGAAGCCATCAGGCATTCTCACCTGCAGCAGGCAGACATCCACAGAGAGGGAGGCCGTCGGTCTGCCTGTTGTCGTACCAACCGTGAGCTTGATCTCATTGGCCTCGCCGACGATGGTGTGTGATAAGCTGAATGCCATCTCCACCACGACGTCAGGCGCGGACGGAGACCTGCTGCTTGGATCGACCCGCACGTCGAGGAAGAATCCGAGCAGGCCGAATTCCGGGAAGAGGCCGTCGTTGGTGTTGGTGATCTGCGTGCCATTGCGGTCCTTGGAAGTCATAATGGTCCATCGATTGTCCAGGTAAGACCGGTCAGGGTTGTTAGCCTGACAACGCCATGAGGAGACACGTACGCGCAGCGCAGGCAGCGCAGTTGTATCTGTCTGTCGTACCACAAGGCTGAATGTCATGGCGTAGCCCGACCAGGAGTGGCCGAGCTCGATGTAAAACCGCTCGGCGGTAGCGTTCTGCCCCCAGTCGTTGCCCCAATCGCGACCTGGAGGGGTGTTCCTGCCTGCCCCTGCTGTGTCACTGCTGTAGTAGTCCAAGATCTCGAAGCCAAAAGGCGCATCTACCAGGATGTACTCTCCTTTACTCGCAGGCACCTCTGAATAGACCAAGTTGCAGGGATGCTTGACTGCTCCGTGTCTCAATGAGTGGGCGTCTTACCGGCCCTGAGTGTGAGGGTAATGGTGTTGTTCCTGCTGCCGTAGAAGGAATCGGTCATGTCTCCGCTGACGATGGTCAGCAGCCCGTACACAGGGTAGCACTCCACATCTGCCGCCTCGTCCACTTTGGCACGATTGCCCTCGACGTCCGTCAGGTATGTCATTATGGTCCAGAGCGTCATGGCCACCGGACTGTCGGGATTCTTTAGGTTCTCCAGCGTGAGCATCACAAACTCGCCGGCTCCCATATCGACACGCACGTCAACAGTGTCGGTGCGTTTTTTGTAATACTTGCCGCCTGTGACTTTGACGCGGGAGAAAGAGAGGTGGGGCGATTGGATGACGAGCGTGTCGGCCGCTGAGATGGTTGTGAATGACACCGAGACTTTGGTAGTGCCTGCACCGAACCCACGCGTATGGGATACCACAGGCAGGACGGGAGGTATTCGCATTCTGACTTCCTGCAGCGAATCGTGCATCTGTCTCATCCGGTGTGATGAGGGGGTCGATCAGCTGGGGAACAATGTTGTATCCCGCTGCTAGTGCCGAGCTTTGTATGACGTCGTTGCGGTAGTGCCTGGCTTCGAAATTGTTCGGCGAGGGGGTCTCCATTGGGTTCAACGCACCGACTGAGAAGCTAATCGTCGTTGCCTCGGGAATCTGCTGACCTATCACAAACCTACACGAACGAGAGGAGAGGATGGACTGTTTGCCTTGCAAGTGTCTGTCTATTGACATGTCATCTGCAGGGAGCTCACGCGATTTCGTTGAGTGTGCACTCAGGGTTAGGACTGACGGGGTTGTCACTGTCCGTCGGCAGCACCGGCGGCACCGTCAGCTCAGTGTAGTTCCGACAGAGCGTGCTCTGACCAATGCCGAAATTGAATGAGACAGGGGCGATGACGTGGATGCTGTCGCTGGGAAGCACGTCGTCCGGGAACTCCAGGGTAAATTGGAGGGGCACCTCACGCAGACCTCGCTGCGATGAAGGAGTGACGTAGCTGAACCTGCAAGGACCACGCGCACGCCGTGTATCTGTGAGGTGCTTGCGTGGGTCGAGCTTACGTGTCCATGACATCGTTGATGCGAAAGCCGTCGCCATATGCAGCATCGAGACGATTGCTTTCAGGGCATGATGTGCCGAGATTGCTCTCGGCCGTGCATGAGAGGAAGTACCTGAGCCACACAAAGAAAATGGTGACGGCCGTCTCGATTGTGATCCTTCTCGTACCATCTTTCAGGCACGGGGACGATCTGCTGTGGGTTGATGACGGACAGGAAGATCTGATACCTCTTGCCGCCTTCAATGCGGGTGTCCTCTTTCAGCACTCGGACACGCACGAAGCTGTTGGGAGGGTTGGTCCCCTCGCACATCAGCTCATCGCCAGCAAAGTCTTTCACAGGCAGCCCCGCCTCGGTGAGCTCAGTGACATGAAGCGTGCAGATGGTCGAGAACAGAAATCCACTGGGCGCAGTGATACGCAGCACACCACCTGAGGACAAGACACAGGGAGTGCCGAGACATGGAAGAAATGCCTCACCCGTGATGATGTCTTGGTATGGAGCCAGAGTGATGCACAAATCGTTGATGGTATCTCCCAGAGCCGTCGATCTCGCAAGAGTGGTCGGAACGATGACTACGTCGCTGAAGGCCCAAATGTCAAATCCGGCGAATGGCTCGGCCGACGACTGTCTGTAGGACAGCGACCACATGTTGGGATCAGGCGTGGTGGCTGGGTTGTTGACGCGAATGGTGAAGACATAGTTGAGCCCTGTCGAGAGGTCACCCCCCAGTATCGTCAGCCTTGCCACTTTGTCGGCACCCTGACAGCTGGCGACGGTCACTCCCAACGGAAAGACGGTTAGACCCCACTCAACTTTGCCAGCTCCGGCATAGTTACGGAATGGCGCTGCAGTGTTCACTGGCCCGCAGTCCTCGTCGAACACGAAACCTTCAGGCGCCACTATCGTCATGACATCGGCGTCAACTGTGCCTTGCGGGAGTGTCCACGTCGCGAGCTGAAACACTAGAGTCACCTGATTGACAGCTTCAGCACGGTCGTTTCGGTACCCTCCTGAGACAAGATGACGCATTTGTGATCAGTCGTTGGTTGTTGTGATGTTTTCTGTGGGTGGCGTACAGTACTACCTGTTTCTGTGAAGATGTATGCAGCTGGCATCTTTGGATTGACGGCGTATGGCGACATATACGTCGGTGCGTCAAGCCAGAGGCTGCCACCAGGGCCCTCCGAGTCAGTGGCCTGGTCGCAATTGGAAAACGACTCCACGTAGAGCGCGCCTTCAGGGACACCTGATCAAGCATAAGGGGAATGAGCCGTTGTGGCCTCGCAGCTGACATACGTGACCTTGTTCCGCTGGGTTTGTCACTTGCACTTGGAACCGATAGACGCCGCTGGCGAAGGTCGTCAGCATGCTTCGGACCTGGATGTAGCCGTTGCGGAAGGGCAACGATGCGATTTGTCGGTCCTGGGCGTCGCATGTAGCATCATCTGGGAACTTGTGGCCACTGTCGCTGTCGAGAGTGCGGTAGCCAAGACACGCACCTGCCAAAAGGAGTGACGCCGAAATGAATCCTGTTTCTGCATTGATTATAAGTCTACCTGTTGTGACCTCGAAGTTCTGCGGTAAGGTGACTCTGAGGCAGCCGCCTTTGGGTATAGTCGTGACCGTCTCAACCCGCATGACGATATCAGACGGCTGACGGACGACTGCATTCGACCAGCTCTCCAGCTCAGCATTGATGAGCCTCCGCACACGCGCCGGGGTGAACGCTGACAGACAAGCGCACACAGAGGCGAGTCCACTGAGACAAGAGCGCACTCAGCGCCTCATGGCTTTGTCTGTCTACCTGCAGCAGCGATGCGTTCATGTATGAGCGTCCCGTCGTAGCCATATTCGAAGAAGAACTCGTTTGCCGAGGGGTATTCGTGCTTGAGCGACGGAGTGTCTCCAGGCACATGCAGTGATGTCTGGAAGGCATACCTAGCAAAATAAGGCAGCGCACACAGCACAACTCGAACGCCGGTGGTTCCACTGTTTTGTCACATACCGTACATTGGCGTCGATGACGCCCCCAGCGTCGACGTCGAGCTCAAGGCTGTTGCCGTATGTGACTCCGCTGGATGGACGAACGACCGGCAGAGACTTAGTGATACCCGGCAGCTGGACGTTGTTGTCCGGATTGGCATCACCCACCTGCACACACACAACCCACGGACACACGACACAGACAAACACACACACAAACGACCGCACTTGGCCCTCTTTGTATCTTCGCATGTATATGGATTGTATGTGTCTCACCCACTTTGTATCGGAAAACGGCTACATCCCACTCGTACCCGCTGGGCGCCATAACCCGAATCTTCCCTCCTGTATGCTGCACCCCAATCTCAAACTCCACCGACACGGCCGCAGGAGTCGTCGTATACCAAGACGGCAGAAAATTAGTCACATCAACGGTAAACACCGTCGCCTCTCGCTCGTAGACGCCCCATGATCGCTGTGAGGGCCCGGTGGCGTCTTCAGGGTTGAGTCGCGGAGTGTATTGGGTCCCATCGATGGCCTCCTGCAGCTGGGTGTAGGTGCGGATAAGGAAGGCGTTCTCGCGGGTGTCCTGCAGCGAAGTGTAGCTGGTTCGAGGTTCGTTCTGTACGCGGCGTGTCCTGAAACATACATATGACAGCTGAATCACATCACGGCAGTCAGTCCTTTTCGCTGCTGACTGAGTATACACCCTTACTTGAATGCATAGTTCTTCCCGCCGTCGAGTGACACCGATGAGGTAAGACTGATCCGGAGCCGATTGCGGGTTGAGCAGGTCGTCGCCATGTTGGCTCCACAGTAGGGCCCGTTGACTGCCTGGCGAGACACAACTGGCGGGAGTGTTATGTTGGGATTGGACTCGTCCACAGGAGAAACGTCGGGATCGACATTGACGAAGGCGAACCCATCGAGCAAGTCCAGCTCAACAATCGCTCCTCGACCTGTGCACCACAGACAAATGGATTTCAACGCGTGTGGCCATTCGTCAAGACAGTGCCCACCGGCGCTCTGCTCAGTCTTGAAGAAGACGGTCAGCTCGTTGGACGAGAAGTCCTGCGCGAAGTGGGACGGCGAGAGGGTCGCTTCGGTTAGGAAGCCCATGACGGCGACATTTGGTCCGTAATCGCCGGATCCGGTGAAGATCTTCTGCATGTCTGGCTGAATGGGATCGCCCCCCTCGAGAGTGTCACGCCACTCGTGGCGTCCCTTCGACTGAAGAACCAGAGACGTGCCCTTGTGTCCGCGACTCACAATCATGCCTCACTCACCCTGACGACGATCTTCCACACGTTGGCTGGGTCGTATGGCGGGAGGGGGGTGGATGGGTTGGTGACCTTGAGCTTGACGATGAAGGGCGCCCCCGACGGAATCATGTGATGTTGTCCCATAGTGTACATGCACACATTCTGAGACACACACCACAAACATACAAAAGCGATTTCAGCTGGCCATCTCGTGCTTTCTCCTGGCCAAATGGAGTCGTACGCTGCCGAATGACCAGCTGTCTCCCGCGTCCGTTTTCAGTTGTGAAACCCCCACCGGCCGCGAGGACCCATAGACAAAGAGAAGGTCCTCTGTCGGCTCGGCCGCTGTGCACGTGTATCCCACAGGCAATGTGATCAACATTTGTCCCTGCCCAGGCTCTGCACACAACACACCATCACCCACTCCTTGCAGCCTACCTACTGGACTGAGACACATACCCCTTACTTGCAGAGAACAGGAAGGAGCCCAGCACGATCCTCGCGTAGAGATAGTTGTCGGCATTGCCCCTGTAAGGCCTCATATTGCCGTCGCCGTGCTTTTGCACCACACCCGCCTCAGTGACTGTCACATTCTTGTACAGCAGCCCGCCCGCCGACCGTGTGTGAGTCGGCAGCGTGCCGCCCTGCGTATGCAAACCAGATACAGAGAGAGAGACACAGAATAGTGCTTGTTTACTCACCCACCAGTGCGTAGACTTGCACACCGATGTGTTCCGGGAAGAAGCCCTTTGCGGGGGGAATGATGGGGTCGAACACCACGAAGACATCGACACCATCGTTGATGGTCCCAACACCTCCCGGCACCGTCACACGGGCTCCTGCCTTGTTCTGTCCCACGCACAGGGGACACACGCCCCGCACCACATCTGTGTTTAAGTGAACCCCATATCGTCATGAAATGACGCACCTGCGTGCCGTCCCCGGCAGCTCTGCTGCCGATCTGTATCGGCGTGCAGTCGACATTCTGCACTTCGGTGAAGTCGTCCTTGATAAAGTATGCATTGCATCCAGCGCCGAAGTCCCACAGAGTGAGTGGGTGGAAGATGAATTCCAGCCAGTAGTCGGGCTTGATGCGGGTGGTGTCCGTGTCGCCGCCGGCTGAGATCTTGATGTGCAGCTTGTCCACTGCCGCAAGCTCCACCAGGTCGCTCTCTGACCAGCAAGCAGACCACAACATAGACATAGATGGCCAAGCATCACAGTGACAGTGTCTCCTCACCAGTGAAATCGCCGCCTGGCACAGGGCGCTCGCCCAGCACTATCACCCCATCGGTGGCGTTGAAGCTGCCATAGACGGCCCCGGTGTAGTCGCTCAGCGAAGGCGGAATGCGCCTGGGGTCCGGCGCGACGTTGGCAAACTCGACCACCTCATGCGGTTTGAGAAACTGGTCGTCCTTTGACCACACTTGCATCAGGACGTCGCCGGCCTGAATCGACGACTGATGGATTGCAGACACACAGGCTGCCTGAATGGATGTGTAGAGGTACACACAATTGGTTGCGTACCGATGGGCTTGTTCTGCAGTTGAAAACGAGTTCATATCGCGTGTTTGCCTTGAGACCGTTGTAGCGGTCGAAGTAGATTATGAAGGACTGATACGTGCCAAAGGGGCCAGAAGTTACAGCATGCCACCTGAAGGTGCAATAGACACCAAGGCATGCTTGTGATACCTGTGGCTGTCTGTTCGGTGGCTGACTTGCAGCTGTGTGGCATGGGGAACCCCGTCGACTGGCCCCACGTCTCAATGAGGAACCTGCCGCACTCCCTCTGCGTCGCAATGGGCTCCTCTTGCACCGCTTCGGGGTTGCTGTCACTTGACAGAGGCTCAAGCTGGCTCAAGGCTGTAAATCGAAGCTCCAGAGCCATGCCGTACACAGCCTGTGATGATGGGAAGCAAAGCAGAGCAGACGAGCCAAGGGCAGTCGACATCGACTCACGGCATCACTTACCCACCGTGGTGTATTGCGGCGTCGCTGCGACGTTTGTGAGGAAGTTGAGCAGCACGGGGCCCTCCTTTGTCGGCTCCAGTACGGTCAGATGGAGGTTTGCTTCTGTCATCAGCAGCGGCATTGTGGCCGTGATGAAGCCTGCGTGCACCCATCCGGCAGTCTTGAGACCGTCGATAGGCGGGAGAGGACAGTCGTTGCCGAGAGGACAGCTTGTCTGTTGAGCCGGTGACGAGAAGATCCAGCAGAGATTGTATTGCTCTTCGGTCACTGAGCCTGGCCTGAGATGAAACAGGGAGGCGGCATGGTGGCAGAACGTGTGTCTCCGTTATGGTTACACACTGGCTGATTATGAGTCCCTCGAATCTCGCCCGCGTGACGACGACAGCGATGGCAGTGGCAGTGGATGTGGGCGGCTGGGCATCAATTTGGAAGAAGGTGTCGTTGTGGATCTGCGTCACTCGAAAGTTCTGGTTCTTGTCGGTGAAGTGGCCGCTGACGACGAAACGAATGTAGTCCTGTCAGTTAGAATGAACCAGTGAGGACATACATACACGGGTATGCCCTCGGTGCTCGTCTTACGGTGTTACTGATGCCATTTGGAGCGTCTGTCTCTAGAATGGTGAAACAATTCGGGTCAGAGTAGGAGACGTCAGTGCACGCTGAAGACGCATCAAAAAGGACAAGACGACTTCTTTCGAATGCGAAGGTTCTTCTCTCGGTGTGTGTCTCACGTGCTGTGCCGGTGATGGATTGGATATTGAGCATGACCACTTTGCTCGCGTATCCCGTGGCAGCGGTCGTGCATCCAGAGTCCCATCCAGGAGTTACATCGACCCGCGAGTCCACCTTCCCTCCGTACTCGTGCCCCTCCATCGACAGGTCCAGCTCGGTGCCACGGACCACGATGGAAAACTCCTGACCGAACGCCACAGTATAGCTGTTTAGTGAGGCAGTGGGGCCGCCGATTGCCATGGCACCTGAAATACACAGAGGGAGGCAGAGAAGGAGACACCGTGGACGAGAGCAGGGTGTGGTGTGTTTGTTGTCCATGCCATGCACCTGCATCGGTTTTGAAATCGGTCGGACTGGTGCAGGTTTGTCCGGGAATGGTCGTGTCGTCGAGGGTGCAGAAGCACAAACGGTAGAGGCCTGGTGTGGTGTCGATCAGGTCACCCGACGAGCCCCACTCATAGTCCATCCCGTCGTTGGTGCCGTTGGCGGATATGGCGTCGTCTGGCAGGTTGGCAAGAGGCGTGTTGGTGCCGCACTCGCTGAGGATGGCCATCTTGCCGCCGCGCTCCAACAAGTTCCCCTGCACACCTGCCATTTTCATTAGATGAGACACACTCGCCCGTGTCTTGCAGATCTCGATCGCTGTATACCCATGCTTACTCACCGTTTGTCTCACACTGCCTTCCCTCCCAGCAGGTGAAGTACTGGCCTTGCGTCGGGCCTCCGAGCCTGACCGTGCCACCGGGTGAGAGAAACTGGCTGGGGAAATTCGCCATACAATCGTATTGGCTGGCAGGGCAGTAGCAAAGCGTGTAGTTGTCAGGGGGAGCGGTGATGGCGTGCTGGGCGAAGATGCTGCCGCTCGATGATGGGTTGCCCTCAAACTCAAACTTGTACTGGATGACGTCCGTCACATAGGCTGGATTGGCGAGACCCTCGGTGGAATTGTAAGCGCCGAAGCCGCTGCTGACGGCGGGCGTCGTGCCACACGTGCCTGTCTCTGCCATGACATACATCATATCGTCCACCTTCAGCCCGAAATTCGCTGCGATGTTGTTGACCCCATCATCATCTTGAATCTGCAGAACAGTCCACACACATCAATGGCATTGAGACAGGCCACAGCAGCAGAGTCACTCACATAATCGTAGCCAGCTGAGTCAAAGTCAGGCTTAGGGTAGTTGGGAATGCATGGGTGTGAGTGAAAGCACCGTATCTCGTTGGACGGTCCCGGGCCGTTGATAACGACCTTCTTGGGATCTAGTGGCGGTGCTGAGACCGCCTCCACGAAAAAACTGGGATCATTTGCCGCTGGGTACTTGCAACTATTGGGTGTGTTTTGATCCTGCAAAAAATGAACACGCATTCGCTTCTGGCATCCATCCCAGCTCTTCCATGCTTGCCTCCCTCTACTCACATGGTCGCAAACACATAAGGCGAACTTGCCCGGTCTGTCCACAACGACAGGGCCGCATATCAGAGTGTCGTCAGAAATGCTCTCCGTCACCACAGTGCAATTTGCCGAGCCCGCCGGCGGGGGATCGGCCCAGCCAATCACGCTGTTGGGGGAGGGAGTGATAGAAAAATGGGTCGGGATCTTGCCATGGGCAGGAAGAGCGGTGCAGCCTGTGTAATCGGTGGGGCAGCAACCTGAAGACATAACACAAACGCCTTGGCATCTTTCCTGTTCCTCTTAGCTCTCTTGCCTTGGTCTGCAATGACCAGACGGTCGTCTGGTTGAAAGCTCTCCACGCCGCCAACCCTCAGCCTCAGGTAAAACTCCCTCCCGTGATGCACGACTGTCTCATCTCCTGTCGCCAGTCGTGTCGGGTCGTACGAGATGACTCCATGGTCGACATATCCTTCAAATACGGCCAGCTCTCGCCTTGGTGAGGAAGCCGAGAGGGACATTCGGAGAGATGCGATACGCATCAGGAGGAAGGGGAGAAGAGAAGGAATAAGTGGCCATGGAGAAGTGGACAACATACCGCCACCGTATCATGAACAATGGACACGGCTGTTGCGATGCTTAGATCATGCAAAAGAGGGGGGGGGAAGGGATTTGCGAGCTAGGTGTGGGGGCGCCCCCAAACTTGCGCATGCAGAGAGCTTTGCCTGATCGTCGCGCATCGGTAGCATTTCTCCCCCCTTGCCTGAGATAATGGCCCCATTGCCCAGCAGACGTCTCATCCACTCGAAGGCGTCAGCGCTTTCGTGTTTCCTCTTCCTCGCCTGCATCAGTGCTAAGACGGCAGCAGTCTCTTCTGCTGCTGAATGGATTCCCGCCACATGTGCCTTGTACTCATTGCAAGGGGGCTTCACTGTCCTCATTTCGACGCGCATTCCTGAAGATCATGGAGTCTGTCTGCGGGACAGTCACCCAGCCAGGCCACAGCCGCGCGAAACCCCGAATGCTGAGGCCATCTCTATTGCAAACAACGACGGCTTGGAGAAACGGGCCGCAGAGTTCGCTCGATGGGTGAGGGACAGACATGCTCTTGATCCACCAGCCCACATATCCTTCCCAAACAGGTGACACCCTCGACCACACATCTGCACCTCACAGTCTTTCCTTTCCTCTCCTTCAGGTTGTTTTCCGTCCGGGGCCACGCGCCACGGGAGGAGCATCTGGTGCAGGAGGCCCTCGGAGAAGCCGGATGGCGAAAGGCGTACCAGTAAGAAAAGACACACGGCGCCTGCTTGATGGCAACTGGGAGTGTACATTCCTGTCATCACTAATCACAATCAGGTCTGAGGAGGCATCACTCTTGTGGCTGCAGCCGGCTGTGCTGAATGATTCGATTTATCGACAAATAATGCCATTCCCAGAAAACGAACGTGTGCTACGGCTCATCGGCGATAGGCGACAAGAACGCCATGGCGGCGAACATTGCTGCTTTCAATCTGACATACATGAACGGGGTCTGCAGACACGAATGGATACCCACACGCGCATAATGGTGTGATCTTGTTGTGCAGTCGCTGCCGGCATTTCTGCCAAAGGATCTTCCAGGTCAGCCAAACGATCGCATGAACAACGAGACCACCAGACGGGTTTCTTGCCTGACTGCCATATCAGATTCTCTCGAGACGCTTCAGCGGATTGAGAACGAGAGCATCGCCACAGGACTCGCCGCACCGTGGTATATGGTCAGGAGACAGAGCAGCCACAGGGGCCGCAACATCTATGCCACCAACTCCACACAACGCATCGCAGAGATCATGGGTCACCCACACAACCAGCCATCTCACGCCGTGTGTATGTGTCTCTTTTTTTTTGTCTGTCTCCGTTCGCTGAGGCGAGCGACTTTGTGGCGAGCGAATACATCCGCCCCCACCTGATCGGGGGCTACAAATGGCATCTGCGGCTGCATGTGGTGGTGGTCAGCTGGGATCCCCTGAGGCTATTTCTCAGTGAGAGGGACGGCCTTGTGCTCATCGCCACCAAGCCATTCTCCTTCAGCTCAGAAGATCCACGTATGGCAGCCTACTCATCTAGCACACATGTGTCTCTCCTGTAACATTGGTGTGTGTTTGTGCAGTGGTTCACCTGACGAATGCAGACGTGCAAGCAGAGTCAAATGGGCCGACTTACTTTCAGACTCCGCTTCGATTTGTCCACAATCTCGCGTATCTGAGCTTGATTTTCACCAACGACCAGCTGAACATCATATGGAGACGGATACGGGTCAGCTGGTGACAATGGAGACCACCGCTTGGCTTCCCATGCTGTTGCTGCGGCTTGCAGGAGGTGATAATGTGGGCTTTTCTTTCCGTTGAAGTCCCCCTGCACTACCATGTCCACGCAGGAATGGCCCACCCTGACAGCTGCTTTGAGTACTTCGGTGTCGACGTCATTCTGACCCCCCAGCTGCGGCCCTACCTGCTAGAAGTGAACAGGTTTGCAGCCACAGCGTACAAGACCCATGTGGAAAAGGCAGTCAAGAAGGCTGTCCTAGTGGGGATGTTCTGTCTGGTGGGCGTGAGGTGCGGCTCGCTGAGAGACACGGAGGAGATGATGCTGCGGACACGATTACCTGAAGACATTTATCTCGCCCTGGCGGGCACCTCATTATCCATCACCGCCCCGCAGCTGCCGTTGATGCCATGGATAAGGGGAGACGTGGGCTACTTTGCGACTCGAGAAGAAGAGGTGGACGCAGCCTTGTTCAGTGGGGAGAATGGTAATGGTTGGAATGACATGAGTGGCGACAGTTTGGAGCACATGTTTCGGGCTGTTCTGGAGTATGAGCGAGACATCGTCAGAAGGTATACACGCGCTTACACACAGGCAGGTAAGCAGGCATCAAACGTCGTGTGTCTTCATCCAGTGAGAAGACTGGTCTGAGATTGATTTACCCGACCATTGAGACGCTGTCCATCCAACACAGGTTGGCGCATCCACCGCACAGCACAGCACGTCCCACCTACGACCGCTCCTGTGTGTGGTGCGTGTCTCTCTCTCCTGTGGGTGCAGGTTGATGGATTCAATAGATTTCCCCACCTCCTATGGGCACATTGCGTTGCGCAACTGGCTGGAATGGCGACGAAGGCGGAGACACAGCCACCAAGAAGCGAGCCAGGGTGTCAGAGCGTGAATTGGGTGTCACGTGATCCTTCTTTATTGGGAACATACGGGGCCCCTCGGTGTGAGAACACGTGAAGGTCTGTGTGTGTCGCTCTTGCATGTCCACTGCCTGGCTCCCTTCGTTGATAAATTGGGGTGGTCCCCACTCATTCGTCAAGGTGTCAGACTGTATGTGTGTGTGTGTGTGTGTCTGTGTTGAGCTTAAGAAAGGAATAACGTTGACCCACACATGAGTGCATTCAACACAGAGTCCTGCCCCCCACACCACGCCACGCCAGGCCACCACACACAACAGACAGCTCTCATTTCGTCACATGCACACCATGGCTGGCAGGCGCACAAAGTTGGCCCCGTGCAGTCACGACAGAAACATCACCATGCACCAACTGCCGCCTCCCTCCCCCATGTGTGTGTATACGAAGAACACGGCAGGGACACAAACAGGTATGTAAAGTGCAAAGGACCGACAGACAGGTCGTCTGTCTGTCTGTCTGTCTGTCCTTCCCTCACTGTCTGGAATGACTGTGTGCGATGGCGGCCTGTTTGGCCCCCTCCATCCCAAGTTCTCTCACCGAGAAACACTTGGCCCTACTCCTGCCGCCCTGGTGCCATCTGTCCACCCAATGGTTGTACGCCCTGTTGTAGTAGACGCCCTTGACGCCGCCCTGGTGCTCCAATCGCTTCGGCAACACCGCACGGCCGGTGCGCTCCGTCTCACGACGATGCCCCTCGGCCAAGACCTGACGGATGGATGGACACACATAGGGAGAGACTCAATGAGAAATGGAGATAAGAGGGAATGGGCGGCGTCATGCTCACCTTGGCTCCGTCGAAGCCATGGTTCTTGATGTAGAAGTACTTCCTTTTATCTTTTGTGCCGCCCTCGCCGCCCTGCGCCTCATGCTCCCTCCATGTGGCCGACCAAGCCTGCCGCTTCTTGACGGCCGACCGATGCTCTGTGCAAATAAAATTGGCAGGTGACCGTGGGGGGGTGGGGGACAGGCAGGCAGACACTTCTGGCCCTTGTCGCTCACTTCTTGCTTACCGGCCTTGCTGCTGGTGGCCTTTCTGCGCCGGCGCTTGGGAGGAGGGCCGCGGTCTGTGGACGAGACCTCAGGGCTGTTGCCGCCGCCACAGGGGGAGGGGGCAGGGATAGGGGGTCTTGGCACATGGAACTTCCGCGAGTCTGAATAATGACACACACACAGACAGACAGACAGGTAGCCGGCAGAGAGCCTATATGAGAGCATCTTGGGGTCCCTTGCTAAGTGCTGTCTGACTCACCACTGTTGGGGTGCACTGTTGTCAGCGCGTCGGTATCGGGGAGGGGAGATGGGCGGTCTCCATCCTTTCTGGGATGTCGCCGCGGTGCCCTGCTGGCCTGGCCAGCCATTTGCCCTGTATCGTCACCAGACGGCACCTTCGCACCTGTATCGTCACACACACGAAGGGATACATACCAGCCAGCGAGCAAATGACTGAGACGCACGCACCTGTCGGCCTCCACCGAATCGCCCCCGTCTGCTGGCCGGCCACCGTCACTGTGACGATCTCATACCGACCGCCACTAGGAGGATCGCTCGCACGCACACCCTCCAGCAGCTTAGTCAGCATGGCCGCCTCACACTCACCACCGATGGCGTCGATGTCAGCGGCCGACTCACCGGCTGGCCGCGCCTCGCTGCTTCCAGAGGGCCGCGCCGTCGAATCAAACGAAGTCGGCTGCAGTGGCAGCACTGTGTCTGAGTCGTCAGGGACGAGCTCCTCGTCAAAGGCACTCTCATCTCTCACGCCGGAGTGTCGCTGTGCCGACGCTTCATCGTGATGCAGCGGACAGCCTGATGAAGGCCGCCAGTCGGTGGGTCTTTTCATTGCAGAATCATGAGTCTCCCCTGCCGACGCAGCCGATGCAGTGATCTGACTCTCCCGCGGCATGGGGCGGTCGGGAGAGCGCTGGATCTTTGAGAAGAGCAAAGCAGCTATGCCACAGAGGCTGCTGCACCTGACAACCTCCAGGTTAGCTCGCAAGGGCATTCCATGAAACCGCTCTCTCTCGACAGACCTGGGGCAGCAGAGGAGTGTGCAAGCAGGCTGTGTGATCAAGATCTTTCGTTCACTCAGCCACTGACTCATCCCTGTGAGCGTCGGGATGCTTGAGTTGATTGGCGGATGCGACACCATCGATTGCGACTTCGATGCGTCAATCGAGCGGCTCACGATGGCCAAGAGGGCGCTGACGGATGAGATCTCGCGGCTCCTTGCTTCGCGAGGCGGCGTGTCGCGTCCCGCCGAGACCACTGGCGAGATGCTCGTCAATGCAGGTGTGCAGGGGAGGGCCACGAGGGGCGTGCCAGTGATGATGTGACTGTCTGTGTTGGCCTCCATCGTGTGTGAATCGCCTGGTCAGGTGGCGTGGTGTTCCCTGTTTCCCGCCGTGGGCTTCTTCTCCCTTGCATGAAGCATCGCTACATCTCGGTCCTGCTGATGCTCTTCGCTGACGGCCTCCCGCGAGATGCCGACGGCCATGTCTATCTGGAGACCTCACCTGCATACTTTGAGGCCTTCCTGGACGAGCTGACGCTCTACGAGACCGGCCGCACCAACACCGTCGACCTGCCGCCCTCCAAGGCGGCCGACCCGGCTTACTGCGAGTACCACTCTCTGTTCATGCGCGAGCTGCCATCCTTCTCAGCTCCCACATACAGTAGCCGCGGTGCCGCCACGGCCCGGGCGATTGATGGCGCATGCGACGAGAAGGCCCTAGGGAACGTCATCCAGACGTCGCTGAGCGACCTGGAAAAGGTCATGAAGAGGCTCACGCGGCGCAGGGAGGAGGTGGTCCGATTCCTCTCGGCCATGGAGCCCTTCATGAAGGGCCAAGACAACACCGAAGACGACCTGGCGGTGCTGAGCCTGGACGTCCTCGGCCGGCAGGTCGTCATCCAGAGGCGCACGCTGCTGCGATTGGGAGACGACCATCCCCTGCTCACGCGATTCTCAAAGTGGGCACATTCACAAAGGACAGGCGGAGAGCGACAATGCAATGCAGGTCACATCTGTCTATGTGTCTGTGTGTGGTTGTGCAGCACTCCGCCCTGCTGGGGTGACCGTCGTGTGCGTCAGACCCCCACCAAGCACTTCGTCAACACAGTCGAGTTCGCCCGCCGCATCTCGACGATGCCCAAGGGGCAGCTCATCCGACCCCCGCTGCTGGACGAGAGCGAGCGTGAGCTGTTTCGAGAGGATTTAACGATGTATGGTCTCACTTACTCGCCAATCCTTGACCTGCCGGCCGGCCAGGAGTGGGTCATGCAGTCGACAGAGGAGTGGGTGGCCGTCCTCGACCTAATGGACAGGCCCACATGCAGACCATCGCTGCTCTTCAAGTGGGCTGGGCACTCACGAACGCACCATAATGTTGAACGGGAGCGGCTTCCGCTGGTCCGTCAGGTATGGGCGTGACGGTGGTGACTGCGGCACGCTGCTGGCCAAGGTGGGCGATGCGAGCGGTCTGCTGTTCCTCATCAACCACGACGACACACACCGATTCGGAGCCTTCGTCGACGGCCAACTCAAGCCGCCTGCCGACCCCACACAGACCAGCGGCCACTACACCGCGCCCCTCATCTTCATTTCCATCAGCGGTGCATACTCTCGGCCAACCAAGGTGCCCATCCCCGAGGCCAGACAGGTGGTCGAGGTCGCCGGCCGCGACGCCTCCATCAAGGCCACCAATGGGGACAGCCGCGGCAAGGTGGGTTGGTGGGGGGCGAATGAGAAGAGCACCGTCATCTATGGGTCAATTCGCATGTCTTGTGCAGTTGGGCATTGGCGGTGGGTATCTGTGGTTTGGGTTGGCCACCCCCGGCCCGTCAGATGACGTCCGCAGCATGCATCAGTGGGTCAAGAAGGAGGGCTTGCCCGACAACGGCTACCTCGGCCGGTTCAGCGACGAGAACGGTCACGGCACACTGGCGGGAGACTGGAACTTCACCGCGAAGGAGATGGAGATATGGCACATCGAGACCGCCAGGGGTGGTTGGTTTAAAGCGGCGGCACCGCACGCTGCTGTCAGGGTCGGGTCGAGGAAGCCGAAGGGCCTCATGAGCTGGCTGTGGCGGTGGGGAGGTGAATAAGTAGATGGCCGATAGCCTTGCGTGGATGCGTGGTGCGTGGCAGTCCTCATGGTGAAAAGGCGGAAGTAATACCTATGTGTGAGTGTATTGTTCGTGCGAGTCGACCGTGGCATTAGTCGTTTTTGGCTCTCTGACCCTCCCGTGGCCTCTATAAGTACTCTCTCATGGTTTTGCTGGCGTGAACGGGGGAAGGGTCAGAAAGCGGGCCCATGGCCGTCTGTCTGTCTGTCTGTCTGGCTGTCTGTGTGTATGCGCGACAGACAACAAGTGACACCGACCAGTGGTTTATTTCGCCGTCTGCATATCCGTGAAAGTGTGTCTTCCTTTGCCTCACCTGCCGTGCGTGGCACTGCACGGCAGATCGATCGACGCAACATAACGTGTCCCCTCGCACATCGCATTCATGGACGTGGCTCCATCCGTCCGTCCCTCCATCCGATGACCCGTTCGTCGTGCTTGTGTGTGACTGTCTGTGGTGAGATGTCATGTTCTGTGACTGACTAACACAGACAGACAGCCAGACAGACAGACCTGCTGATTGGCTGATTGAGAGTTGGCTTGTGGATGGATGGATGGATGGTCAGTCTATGGCCATGCCGTGTCGGTCTTATGATGACAATGCATTCGACGCCAACTAAATCGATGAACCGCTCAATCTGCGGCTGATGGGTCATCGCACGACAGGCACAGTCTGGTCGGCAGTTGGTCGGTCATTTGTCCGTCATCTTGATTCAATCGCTGTGTGTGTCTATCTCTCCATCCGGCACTACCTGTGTTTGTCAACGAAGTGTTCGACGTCCTCCAGGGTCGTTCGTTGGGCTGCGCACGGCGCAATAGCAAATCGAAGAGAGAAAATTTGCTGTCTGTTTGTCTGTTTGTCTGTTTGTCTGTCTGTCTGTTTGGGTATATGGGAGGGGGAGAGACACAGACGGACAGACAAGAGGAGCCATTATTGTGTGTGATTGTGTATGTGTGTGTCGCCTCGCGCGTCAATCAATTGTCTGCGCGCCGTTGTGGTGCCGCAATTAGTTCCCGAGGGGCACTCTGCCGACCAATGCGGCTTCACACAACGACACCAGAGAGTTCCCCTCCGTTTGCCTCCCACTCGAGTCGCTCATGCCGCTTCTGTGTCTTCCGTCTCGCGAGTCGCGTCGCGAGTCACCAAAAGCCATGTATGCAGACCACCCGGCTATTATACATCCCACCCACCCCCACCAACACATCACATACATCCATCCCCTCCCTCAGCCATCCATGTCTCTCTGTCTCTCTCAGTCCATGATGATGTGCGCCCCCCTGCCCAGCCACTCTGCCAGGCTCTCCAGGTCATCGTCAGCACCGCCAGCGGCACCCGCACCCTCGTCGATGTCCACCGGCGCATAACCACCGCCGCCGCCCTCCGAGGGGTCCTCCTCTGCGGCCAGGCGGCACCGCGCCAGGTCCAGCAGGCAGTGCCGATCAGATGCACGGCTGATGGCCTCCATCTTCTTCTGCAGACGGCCCAGCACTCGGGGGGTCGTTCCACTTGAGCGTCTGGCTGCTCTTCCCCTTGCCGCGCGGTGCCCTCTTCCTCTTGGGGAAGGCGTCATGGCAGCACGCCGCCTCTGTTGTCTTGATGATCTCGCCCTCCCTGCCCTTGTTCCAGGGCCCCCACAGCACCTCCTCCCCCAGGCCACCGAAGACGGGCGGCGTCTCGTCCTTCTCGTGAGTCTTCGCGCGGCGGACGGCGGCTCGCTTGGCCTTTGTGAGGGGCTGGTGGTCGCTGTCTGTGGGGCTGGGTGACGGGAGGGGGCTGCGGGTGCGCTTCTTGCGGTTCTGTCGGAGCACCATACCGTGAGTATTGGGGCCGCTGGCGAAGGGGTCCGGCTCCTGCTGTGGATTGGGGGGCGAGGACAGCCGATAGCGGTGGTGCTGGGAGACGGTGGGCGATGGCAGGAGGGGTGAGGGCTCCGGGCTGCATGAAGGTGGGGAGACATAGAGAACAAGTTGACGTCTGATGGATCGATGGTGTTGCCCCTTTGATCCCTTTGCCCACCTGTGGTCAATGGTCATCATGGCGGGGGGCGATGCGGTGGCGATGGCTGTGTGGACGGGGTGCGTCGACAGCACCTTGCGCGAGCGCCGCAGCTCCGCAGCCAACGATTTCCTCACAGACCTGCCAGACAGACAGACAGACAGGAAGGAGACACATACATGGCCGGGCGCCGGTGTGGCTTCCGTCCTCGGCTGCCATGGCTGACTGTCTGTAGCATACCCTTGAGCGGTGCGACTGTCCTTGTTGTGCTCCTCTGGCACCTCTTTGCTGTCCTCCTTTGGCGGTGTGCTGTTGTCCCCCTGGCTGTCGTCCGCTGGGAAGGACGGCGTCTTGGATATCGTCTTGGACGGCAGCAGGGGTGAAGGGTCGGTGCCATGCGCCTCGGCCGACGACAGAGTGCCCGGCCGGCGGCTGATGGGAGGGCGACTGACAAACAGACAGACAGACAGACAGACAGACAGGGAGGGAGGGAGGGAGGGAGAGAGGATGAGATGAGCTTTGGTGTCTCGTGTGTCTGCTGGCTGCAGGTGAACACACATACCTGTCGAACGGCGGCGGGGGGGCTGGCGCCTCGACCTTCATCGCACGCAATTGGTCCGCCAAACGAGCCCTGAATCAACACACACATGGATTCAGCTATAGCCGGCGATGCGGGTGAGTGGGCCTTCCCGTCGGTGCCTACTTGGTGCCGGGCCCATTGCCCGGGGTATCCTTGATGGTGCTCTGGCCGTGCACAGGGATGCCCGCAGGCAGGTGATCCTTCTTCAACTCAAACGGCAAGACACTGGACAAGGACCAAGGCATTCACCCATTCTCGTGTATGTGCCTCTTTGTGTCTGTGTGTCTGTCTGACCTCGTGGCCTTCGCCGCAGTGTCTTTCGGGAATGTGCCCTCGACGAGGCCGCTAACCATCCCTTGCCCCAGGTCACACACGTGCATGCCCTCACCCTCACCGGTCCCCATCTGCTGCCCATAGCCTCCCAGCCCCATCTCGACACACGGCGTGTGGCCCTTCGTCGCCCCCCTCTCCTTGCGCACGCGAGGCGCCTTGCCCTTGCCCTGCGCCTTGGACGACTTGCCGCCGGCCTGTCTGGCGGGGCGCGGCTCGTACAGGTTATCGTCGTCATCCTCACCATCCGCCGCGGAACGGTCGGGGGCCCTGTCCACCTGGCGGGCCCACCGACTGTCTCGGCCCTCGTACAGGCCGAAATCCTCGCCATCTCCGGCAAAAAGGCCCTGGAGTGTACTGATCTCGGCCGTGACGTTGGGCGCGAGTGTGCTGGATGACGCTTTGGTGGCCCTGGTGCGGGTCTTCCTGTTGGGGTGGCGGTGGGTGGGGCCGTGGGGGAGTGCGATGTGAGCGGCGTTGGTCGGCACACTGGTGGGGGCGGAGGGGACTGCGATGTCAGCGTAACGGAGGACCTCGTACTTGGGGGAAGCTGCAGACAGACAGAGAGACACATACAAATGTGTTTTGCCGGCTAAGGGCCAGCAGTGGGTAACGTACCTTGTGAGCTTCCGAGCGTCATGGCTCCACTGGCATGGTCCGAAACAGCCTGCAGACCTGCAAAGGCACACCAAGGGAAGGGCAGACGAGGTGCACCTATGGGCTTTGGTTGCTGATCGGCTCAATGGCCACCGACGTACCTATGATGGCCAGCTTAGACCGGTAGTCGGTGGTCAGTCTCTCCAGCAGCGACAGCGGCAAGGTGGCCAGCAACATGTCCCACTGGGTCACCAACACATACCTGCACACAACACATCACACCAGAGGACCATACAGCATCCCGCCATCCGCCCACCATTGTGACCCTCACCGAATGGTCTTCTTGCACTTGAGCTTGTCGAGCATCGCCTCCACGAGCACACCCAGGTGAACGGGATAGCCCCCGCCATGAGGGTCGGGCCGCCGGCTCCTCTCAATCATGTCGGCCACCTCCCGCACAATGGCCGGGTTGCCGCCCTTGGTGCGGCCCCACACCGCCACCGAGATGTCCCGCAGCACCGCCACGGCGTCGTATGTGCCGCCTCCACTGCTGGACGGCGAGAGGCGCAGGAATGGGGTCTGCGTGGTGGTCTTCTTGGCTTTGAGAGGGGGCGCCAGCTGCGAGCTGAGGGTGCCTTGGACGAGATTCTCCACCTCACGAGCGTCGGATATCCTCGAACGGACCACCATCAGATCGCCACAACCCTCACTGTTGCATCTGCACCACACACACAGATGACACACATCCAAAAACTTTGGGGCCCATTGGAATGCGCATCTATATCAACACACTCAGTCCACAGACGGCCATGCATGCGTCAGGACAGCCCAACAGAGCCTCACGACACCTCACACCATTGCAATGCACCACTGAATGCACGCCGATATGTGACCTCACCGCCAGTGGCCTCACCGTTCAATGAAGGCCTCGAGTTCCTTCATCTTGCTGTGTGTGGCAGGTTCTGCCTGCTGGGCCATCGTGAGCAATATCTGAGACCTGAGACGAGCCGCCCCAAAAACTTCGCCCCCAGGCTCGCAAGCGAAAGGCAGAGTAGAGCGCCTGGTGCTGATGGCTTCAAAGATCTACCTGGTGTCGGAGCGGTGTGAGCTGCTGGGTCGGTTCGGCAGCTTTGGGTGGTGGGTGCAGGGGCTGCTGGGCCTCATCTCGTTCTCATCGCTCATCATCAAGAGGCAACGGGTCGGCACAGGCCATCCACACGCCATCGCACATTGGCCTCTGATCTGTGGCGGGGGTGCTCTTGTGTGCAGGAGCGTGTGAAGCGCAGCTGGCTGGTCTTCGGCCTCGACTCGAGCAAACAGGCGGCCGGCGCACTCACTCTCCACCTCTGTAAGTGGACAGACAGCTGTGTGTGGTGACATCTCCAATCAGTGCCTCTCTCTGTTGTCCTGTGTGCAGTGAATCTGTTGTTTGCTGAGGGTCTGTCCGGCCTGAAACGGCAGCCACACCGTGACCCATGCAATTGGTGGGCGGCCGGACTGACAGCGGACATCACACGCAGAGAGAGAGAGGCATCCGTGGCCTCTGTGGCTGTGGTTGTGTGCTGCAGGTATTGGGTGAACATAATGGTCGACACGACATTGGGTGTGTTGGTCACCTATCTGCTGCTGCAGCAGGCCAGGAAACTCCTCCACCTCTCGGGCGACAGAGTAACTCACAGACGAGCGGGCAGCACACACAACACTTCCTCACCAGTGCGTGTGTGTGTGTGTTTACCACAGGAGTTTGGGAATTACGTGCGTCAGGATGTGCCGTCCGATGAGCTCTTTGT